TCCTGTAACAGGTGAACCACAGCCTGGACAGGGAGCCTGCAGTTTCCTCGGTGGCAGTGCAGAAAGGCTTGGCCGTCTTGCTGGGTGCTCTGCACCGCCACTGCAGGAGCAGGGGCCGTGGAGGGCCTTACTGTGACCGTGCCGGGACACGGCCCACCGGTGCTCGTGTTTTGGCTGTGCCTGCACTGAGTCTTCTCTCCCGTGCCTCAGCACCAGGACACAGGTGATGGGAATGCCCCAGGAGCTGTTTTGCACCGAGATCCAGCAAGGCTCAGTGCTCAGCAGGAATGTAGTCACTCGGGGCTCAGGAGAAAGTGATGCAGAGACAGGACTGGCCAAGGGGGTCATCAGGAGAAGCTGGGCTGTGATCCAAGCAGAGAGATGGTCTGCCTCTGCCTCCTCCTGTGGGCAGCATAGCCTGGGGGTTCAGCTACCTCAGCACTCCTCTGTAGGGATCTGCTTAGGCTTCTCCTGCCCATTTTAAAGCAGAAACCCTGCATTCTCTAGAGCTCGTTCTGAAGACGGAGACCTAACACATAGACTTAGGACTTGGATCATGACAGAAGGGCTTTTTGCTCAGGCCTGTGGCCCTTTCTGCTGGCCTGGAGCCCTAAACGCTCTCTCCGGCTTCAACGTGGCTCTGAGAAAGTGCTGGTGCTGCTGCTCCATGTGCAGGAGAGGTTCCATTTATGCGGCTGAGTCCCTCAGCCCTGGCTGGTGCTCAGCGCAGGAAGGCCAGCTTCAACGTGTTTCCCAGGCATGGGAGATGGCAGTGGGTACTGCAGTGGAGATGGCTGGCAACAGAGCAGGGAATGCCGGGTTCGCCAGAGGTCTGGGCCCAGCCCCAGCTGCCCTGTGCCTCCAGGCTCATTTGGCTCTCTTGCCCCTTCATTGTAAGGAGCACCTCTGACCACAGCTGCATGTGCAGAGCCCGGCAGAGTAGGGCTGTAATTCAGACAGCGAGCAGGGTTGCGAGAGAAGTGCCCCTCCTCTCCACTGTAATCCATCCTTCCTTTCCTCCAGCCTGAGCTCAGCTCTCTGGGTTAGGCCCGAGCTCCCAAACAGGGCTCTGTGTCCCTTGCAAGCCCAGCTCTAACACCTGTGTTGCAGAACTGCTGAGGACAGAGGCACTGAGCCAGGCCTGGAGGGAGCTGATAAAAGCCAGACGCTCATGACTTATGAATGATGACAGGAGAGGCAGCGGGAAGGAGAAGCAGGAGGAGAGAGGGCTGGGATTGTGGAGGCCACATGGGAGGCTGGGCAGCGTGGTAGGGTCCACAAGGAGCAGTGCAGAAAGGGAGGCTCTGTGCTGGGAGTCTACAGCAGTGGGGGATTGGGGAAGGGGGAGTTTCTTCCCGTGGGCTGCATCCCATCCTGCAGGCGCCAGCAGCTTCCCGTGCTGAGGGAGCCAGCCTCCAGGCTTGGATCCAGGCAAGGGGATGAGGCCTAAGAATATGTGGGAGGGTGGCTGGGAGCAGAGGACCTGCCAAAGATTCCCCTTCCCACAAGTATTTCCTCCAACCTTTCTTCCTTTTTTTTTTTTTTTTGCTTGTTTGTTTGTTTGGTTGGTTTGGTTTCTCTGGAGGATTTGAATTGACTTAATCTGCTAAAGTAGGACTAACTGGAAGAGCTGCAATGAAGTCCTCGTCTCCCATCTTTGAAAAAAAAATACCCATCCTGTAAGGTCTCATAGGGAATTAGTGTTCTGTTTTGCAGGGAAAGGGGCTTGGAAGAAAGTTTTGAAACTTTGAGTGAAACGTTCTGCGTGCTTTTGGTTCAGAGTGACTGTTTTCTTTTAGAGATTTCATGTTAATGAAAAATGCACACACTGAGCTCAAATCTGAAGCTGCTTGAAATGATACACACAGAGATTTGATTGGTTTAAAGCTTGAAAGGAACAACCCTCCATCCTGTTTACTCCGTGGAAAAAGTATTGACGATCTGCAGAATCTTCTCATGAGCTTTGCTAAGCGTGTGGATCTGCTGCTGTAACAGAGGTTGAGTTGATGTTCCTCAGAAGATGCCGTCTGTCCTGGGAGCAGACCCCCTGAGCACTGGGGGAGAGCTTGTCCTCTCCTGCCCTGAGTGAGGGGTGATCCAGAGGGTAACCCAATGCAGGGGATGGAGGAAAAGAACTGTATTCGTGTTTGAACAAAATGTCTCTGTCGTAAGCTCAGCAATCTCGTCCGTGTGTCTCCATGTTAAAGACTGTTGTCTCACACAGAGACTGGTTACTGCATCTCTCTGTGTTGGACATGAGGTGCAGGGACATTTGGAGAGGAGGACAAATTTGGGACAGACTTCTGAGCATGTTACATGGGAGTGGTTGGACAGACAGAGAAGGATGGGAGAGCATGGGTGGCCTCTTCAGGCAGGGCATTTCTGCATGTGCATGATGCAGGAAGGTGCTGTTGTGGAGGAGATACAGTTATGGAGATCTTGCAGGGCTTTACTTGATAGAAAATGAGGTGTTTGAGTTGCTCTGTTGTTTCAAGAAACTGAATGCTGAGAATCATTTTCCTTGGATTTATTTGCATTTGAAGAAAAGATCATGAACCAAATTTTGTAATTTTTCTGGGTGTGTCTTCAGATCTTACCTTGGCACTGAGGACACCTGAAGGTAGAGGTGTAACTTGAGGTATGGGACATTCTGCTCTTGCTGGTGTTCCTCAGACCTGATGTGCAGCCATGCTCCTGGGGCCTGGCTGAGTCAGATTGTAGAGGTAGTAGTTACGGCTCCAAGATGACAGAGCACTCTTTGTAAAGAAAAGGCAACCTGTTTCTAGTGCACTTAGGAACAGAGACACAGTTCTGACCAGGCTCGTCCTCTCTCCCGCCTTGGCAGTTGTGGGGAGGCTGCTGGTGGAGACATGCAGTTTCTTCACGCAGGTTGTCCAGCCCCAGGGCTGGCAGCTCCCTGGAGGCTTGGCCCCGTGTTGATGTTGAGCTGCCCTGCAACCCTCGCTTCCATCTGTGTTAACCTGGACAAGTACTGCTGGTGGCTGGGGTAAAATCCTGGAGCTGTTTGGCTGACAGCCCTTCTTCTCTGGCAGGGAAACTCATGAGGAGGTGAGTCCTAGGAGAAGCAGGTTTCTGGCCCACAAAGCCAGAGGACTTGGCTTGTGATTTCAGCAATGAAAATGAAAAGTAGTCCATGTGAGCTCCTCTGGAGCCATGTTGATGCTCCAGCATTCAGGTTTTCCCCCACTTTGCTGGTCTAAGCACTTGCTCAGTGCTGTTCATGTGGCTGGGATGTGGGGAGGGAAGGCACGTCGGAGTGTGAGCAGCACAACTGAACCGACTCTTCCATCCTCCAGCAGCAGTGATGGCTCTGCAAGTGCTCCCTGTCCCTGCCTGGATATGGAGAGCCTGGGAATGCTTTCTGCCCATTGCTCAGTGCAAATGCACTTTGCAGCCTCTGCCTGCTGCTGCTGCTGCCGCCTTAGGGCTGGCATGTGGCCCAAAGAGCCAGCAACAAGGAGCGTGCACCCGCTGCGTGATCGCGTGTGAAAAGAGCAGAGGGTGCCCTGTGTCTCGTGTCTGCAGTGGATCTGTCCCAGGGAGCCCCTGCCAGGCCCGCGGCTGCTTTTGCAGATCAGCAGGGCTGCCCACGCTGAGAATCAGCGGCCTCGCGTGGTGTCGCGATTGCTGCGGGAGCGTGTGCCCCTTTGTGTCGTTAACAGAGCTGTGAACCCTGCACCAAGATCCTTCATGCGCAAGGCGAGCACAGGGAGGAATGTGCATGGAGGACAAGGCATAAAACATAAAGTTTTCAAAATCGTTTTTTTTACTGAGCACCCCAAGCTATTAGCTGGTGGCTTTGTTGGGGCATATTGTTGCAGGGGAGACAGCGAGGCCACCCTAGCAGAGGCCCTGGTGGCCGAGATGGGACTTTGCTGGCCCTGCCCACCACGCAGGGTCTGGGCGGCGAGGCCGTGGGAACCCAGTTAGCTCTCTCCAGGAGGAATTTCCAGCAGGGGGGAGAAAAAACAACTATCCCGGATGCAGTATAGAAAGTTGTCAGTGTCTGCAAATTCCTCTGATAATGCAGCCCTTTTACCTGCTTTTTTTTTTTTCTCTCCAGAAAAAAAAAAAAATCCATTTGTAAAACAAAAAGCAAAACCAAACAAAACCTACAAAGGTACCAAAGACCCCAGTGATGGGGAATGGGCTGGGCACAACCTTCTCGGCTGCTCAGCAGTGTTGGCGCTATGGGAAGGCGAGTGGAACACTGGGAGCAAGCGTAGCTGTCTGCTTGCCTTGCTATGCCTAGTTCCCCTCCATAGCTGTGTTTCTTCAGAGACACTTTCGTGCCTCCTTCCTCTTCCAGGGTCCTTCAGGTCATCAGAGCCTCAAGAGTCCCTGCTCCTTCGTTGCGTGGAGGATAGAGGACTAGCCTCAGCCGGTGTGGGCAGTGTGCACTCCTGCATGTCCTGCTGGGAGCAGGAGAGGTCCTGCTGCCTCTGTGCTCTAAATTGATGATTCTCCTCTTTGGGGATAGCCATGGTCACCACATTGCTGGGCCCTCAGGAGGCAGGCTGACCTCAGCTGGCAGGATGCAAAGGCTTTCAGACTTGGTCCTTGTGTGGCCTCTACTTCTCTGGCTCAACTGAGCATAAAGTTATGGCACGTCACATTGCTCATCGGTCTGAATTGGAGTCTTCCAGCATTTCAGTCGGGCCCACTTGGGCAGACTGCCTGCCCCCAGCCCTCTTGGACAGAGCTTGTCGCTGTTGCCGGCCCTTTGCAGCCTGTCCCGGACAAGAAGCAGCGTGAGCGGGGTGGCCGGCTGCACTGTTCAGCGGAGATCAGCCAGGGAACCCCAGGGGGTTCATTGTGTAGCAAAGGGCTCCAGGGCTTCCCGCTTCCCACCTTGCATTTTTCATCACTGTTGGCATCGGTCATTTGAGCTTGAAGGAGTGATGGAGCCCCTTTGGAGGAGCTTGGGATGGAGGCTGGACCTGTCACCTGACATTTTCTCTGTCTCTCTCTCATGCCAGGGCAGACTAAGTAGCAGTCATGACGACCGAGACAGGCCCTGATTCGGACGTGAAGAATGCGCAGGAGGAGGCCCCGCAGCAGCAGCTGGAGGCAGCAGCCCCTGGTCCCACTGCCATGGCTGCCAGCCCTGGACCTGTAGCCAACAGCCGGGAGGCTGAAGCCAATGAGAAACCCGTGGCCCAGTCTGACTCCCAAAATGCAGAGCTAGTGAGTAGGCAATGGCTGGGACCTGTGCGACATAGGAGGGAAAGATTGTGGGTTTGGATGACCACCGCAAGGAGAAGCCTTCTGGTCCCTAGGGTGCAGTGTCCTCTGCTCAGAAGCCTTTGATGGCCAGTCACAACAAGAGAGCTGATGGCAGGCCCTTTTCCACGCTAAACCATTGTGGGCAGAGTGACACAGGAGAGTCCTAGTGTTGTTGCCCCAAACCTGATAGTCACCTGCCAGGTGACCCACCAGCACTAAATTCATCAAGAATCGACAACATCTCGCTGCCTGCAGAGAGGTGGGCATGCTGGGCCTGGGGGGGCCACTGCATTTCAGACCCTGCGCAGGAAGATACAGCCTTCTCCACAGCCATCCTCCGTGTCTTGGCTCTGCAGCCTCTTGTCCCTGTTCCCAGGGAGCGGGGAGCAGGGCAAGCAGAGTACGGAGTGCTGCTTTCACCTAGATTTGCCTGCTGCCATTCTTGTTCTGAACTGATAGTACATGCGTGCAGACCATGTATATGTGCAAGAGGCCTTCCGGACACAGCAAATGTAGGTGAGGCGTCCTTGCTCCCATGCAGGTGTTGCAGGGAGCTGTCTCACACCTAAGACCCTATAAAAAACACCCAGAACCCTACAAAAGCTCAAGAGACTATCCCCATAAGATCACTCCTCCAGATAAGTTCTGCCAGATGTTCCTTTAGCCTGACTACCTCACAGTTTGTTGCCCAAGTCTTTTCAAAGTGGTGGCACTTTGGGAGCAGGAGGACAGGTTAAAAGAAAAAGCACTGGAGACCAAAGCCTAATGCTTTAATTGTGCTAGAAATGGCACTGCCACGACGTCCAAGCCAAGGGAGGGAGAAGGAAACATGCAGCGAATCTTGGAAAACAGCCATCCCCAGCAGAACTAGGACCAACTGCTTTACCTTGGACCAGCCAGGCAAGCAGAGGAGACTGAGCTCCATCCTGCTGGACTGAGCTGCATCCTGCTGAGGGAATGCCTTGTCCTTGTTTGCTGAAAAAGACAGATGAGCATGGTAGTCTCAGGTGCTGAATTTGACACTAGGCTCATGAGTGTCATTTTTTTTCACAGTCACTCCCCTAATCCTGACTGTATGCTAAAGGCAGGATTGGCTCTAGATAGCCTGGTGACCTCTCCAGGCCACAGAATCTCTTCTCTCCTCCTGTCTTACCATGTGACAGGGATACTGTGTGCTCACAAGACACCACAGCTCCTTGGTCTCCTACGTTGCCAAGGAGAGGACTTCTTTCCCAAACCTATAGGGCCTATGCTTGCCAGACGTATGGGGTAAAGCCCGTAGAGCTGGACTCATAGCCCTTCTCCTTCTCCCATATCTCTTAGGGGCAGAAGGAGGGAATGATTTTCTGCTCTCAGAATTTGAGAGCTGGTGTCCCTGCTTGACTGTCCTTGTTTCCCTGTCAGTCCTCAAGACTTCCCCCTAACCCCTACCCTGACAGTGGGTGCAGGGTAACAGCATGTGCCTCTTGCCTTCCAGGTCACAGAAACGGAGGAGAAGGATTACAGTGAAACGGATGGACTCTCTGATAAAACAACACCCAGCAAGACCCAGAAATCACCCCAGAAAATCACCAAGAAGGTCAAGAGTGCCCTCTGCAGAGTGACCCTACTTGATGCCTCCGAGTATGAGTGTGAAGTGGAGGTAAGTCTCAGGTTAGGGACCTCAGAGATGCTCGTCCTTTTCTTTGCCAGGAGTCAAGGGCTGCTTTCTCTTTGGCATGCTTCATCATCAGGACATCACAGGGGAGGCTTGGTGGTTTGGGTCAGAGAAGAGGCTATCTAACATAGAGAGAATGATTCTCCATTTGCAAGCTTAATCCATAGAAATGTCTTTTTAAGTTGAACTTAAAAGCAAAAATCTAGAAAGACAGACTCCAGCAGGGAATTTCAGTCTAGACTCTATCTATAGTAAAAAACAGGATTTAAAAAGTGGGAGATTAATAGGTGGAAGATAGAGCTCTGCCTAAAAATATGTGCATGACACATGTCTGTATGTGCCAGCGTATCTGTTGACACCCTGAGAGCACAGCATGTTTGCTGTCCTGTGTGCCAAGGCAAAAGATGTGTGTGCCTGTGTTTGTGCAAAGAGGCCAGCCTGCACAGACCGACTCAGCACATGCAGCCAGGGACAGGCACAGACATGTTTATGTGCAGACACGCGCAGATCCGCACGCATTTTGGCAGTGTTGCAAACTGCACCTCGCCCATGCTCTCTGGTTTCCTTCTGCACTCTTGGCTGTTGCTCCCCGTAAATCTGGCTGGCTCTGGACCGATGGGAGAGGTGTGCAGTTGCGAGCGGGGTGCTCGTGTGCGTGTGTAGTTGTGGGTAAACGAGAGTGATGCACGTGTGTAACCACAGAAGCATCTTCCCGTGTGCGAGTGGTGCAGCGGGCTCCCGTGACGGTCTGACACATGGCGCTCCGTGCGTGGGCCGTCTGCTGTTTGTGCTGCATTGCAAGCGTCTAGTAGAGCACATACACCAGCGAGTGTGGAGTGAGGCTGCGTGTGAGCATTGCCAGGCAGGGATCAAGGGAAAGCAAGGATTCATTCAAGACTGGATTTGGAGCTAGTTCCTGCTGGAACGGGATGGCAGGATGACTTGATGACCCAGGTAAGGTGAGAGAGTCAGCTAGGATGAGAGATATGTTTGCTGAGAACGCCAGTTCTGCCCCAGCTCTTGTTGCTGTCTGCTGCCCACAGACTTAGCAAGACAGCATCTCTTTGACCTGTGTCATGTTGGTAGTGTGAGGGACACCTTTTCAGTTTGGAGGAGTAGGAACTTTGCTATAAAAAAAGCAAAAGCTGAGTCTCTTGGTAAACAGAAATCCTTGTGCCTTTGCTGGAGAGACCTTTGCAATTGCCACTGGTGACAAGGTGAAAGGACTATTGTTCTCAAATGGAAACAGCATTGGTCTAGTTGCTGGCTGCGTAGAGCAGATCTGCTTCTGTATGCAGGTCCTGTCTCTCAGAGGTCTTGGCTGTACAGGATTAATGAACATAAGAAGCGTGGCTGTATGCTTTCCATAGTTGCATGGGAATAGTTAGTGCCTCAAGGCAGCTGGTAGTCAGGAGGCCTGGCCCCTGGGTCTGCATCCTGGAAGCCGGCCCTTTGATCTTGGTGCTCCTGTGGCCTTAGCTGTCACTTTGATGGTGAAATTTGTCACAAAGAGCTTTAGTGACTGTGGAAAGACGGATAGTCACCAGGATGAAAGCCCTCTCGAACAATAAGTGGAGCACATCACTATAGTGACTCAAATGAGCTCACAGGCTAGAAAGACCAATGTCCCTTGGCCCTGGCAAAGCACGTGGTTTTGTTGTCCTTCCCCCAAATCTCCTGTTAAGGTTTGCTTAGCAAAACCTCTATGCAGACCGAAATGCGAGTTGTAGAATTGCCTGCTGCTTCGTTAGCACAATAGTCCTTAGGGAGCTTAGAAAAAGCAGTGTGTGACTGTCCTGTTTCTTGTCGGGCTTTGTTTCTAGTCTGGCTTTGTTTCCAGGGCATGAGGTTGGCAACAAACTGGGATGTGTGGTGCTGTGTTCGCTGCAAAGCCAAGCTTTCCATTGTTGCAGCTTAAAGCATGGGGATTAAAGCATGAGATAACATTCAAATGACAAGGAGCTTCTGCCCTGTTTAAAAAAAAAAAAAAAAAAAAAAAGTCATTTAAGTCATTTGCAGTGACAGGGGGGAGAGAAGAAGGAGTTTTGCAAAGAAAGGCTTCTGCTAAAGTTATTCCTTTGCCTTGGGCCTGATGGAAAGAGTTTTTACTCTACCTATGCGAAAAGGTGGTTGTGCCTAATTCTGTAAAAAAAAACAAAAAAGCCAAAAAAAGAGAGTGAAACCATTCCATATGAGACCCCTATATGCATCACATGTGGTATGTAGACACCCTGTCTTCAAATCTTGGTTCAACAAGAAGGAGAAGATGCAGGAATGGTGAGTGAAATTGCTGCTTGCCAGATGAGAAACAGCTTAGAAGTGAGGTTTCTGAGGCAGTGAGGGCCAAAGACAAGCAGATTTTGTTGGGAGAGTGATGCCCTGGCCCTCAGTGTGCAGGGTGCTTGTAAAGGCACTTGTGAAACGGGGTTTTTCAGAGAAGGAAGATTGGCAGCTCCAGATCTAAAAGTCCATGGACTCAGAGGCTGTAAACACAGGCAAAACAGTCATGGCAAAGAAGTCATTTTTCCATCTCCATAAGTGATCTTCAGGGCTTGCTGCCACAAGTAATGAATGGAAAATGTACAGGAACATTTGAAGGACCAGATAATAAGGACTTGGTGCATGGCTCAGGCCCTTTTTGCCTCTCTTCTGTCCTGTCATGCTTTAGGAGCCAGTGAGGCCCTGCCAGAGGGCATCTGGAAGCAGGATGTCCTGAAGGCTGTGTCATCCCTTATGAACCCTGGGGCATGTTCTTGTCAACTCTCTGAAGGTCCCTGGGTTACCTGCACCCCACTCTGATTGGGAATCACCTTTCCAAGGTGGCATGGGGCTTGCAGCCCATCACATGCAGGTCTGTGAGATGGCAGTGCTGCTTGCAGACTATGGTAAGAGATGGCCTGAGTACGTGGGACTGAGCAGGGTTCCTGTGACTCTCGCAGTGAGGAATGTTGGGGACCAGCATTTGGGGTGGCTCTTCAGGAGCCAGCCGTGGTGGAGAAGGGGCCGTGGCTGAGGCCTGCCTGAGGGAAAGGAGGGCCACAGTGGTTGCCTACCCGCTGCGGAGCTCCCTCTCCCATCTGGCATGCTCTGGAAACGTGGATGGGGCATATGAGGACAGATAAGAGTGGAAGTTTCCTGGGCCCAGTGGCTACTGCCTTGACCTGCCAGATCTGAAGTAGCCTGGATGAAGCCTCCGTGTAGCCTACCCCTGCTCCCCTACCCCTGGAGACAGTCTTGCTCCAGTGTCTAGTCTGTCTGTGTCTCTTGCAGAAACATGCCCGAGGCCAAATCCTCTTTGACCTGGTATGTGAGCACCTCAACCTCTTGGAGAAGGACTACTTTGGCCTTACCTTCTGCGACTCAGACAGCCAGAAGGTGAGCGTGAGAGGGTATCTCTCTGCAGGTTGCTCTCTCCCAGGTACTTGGCCCTTCACCCCCTCCCTAATGTGATGTCTCCTTGTTTCAGAACTGGCTGGACCCCTCCAAAGAGATCAAGAAGCAGATCCGCAGTAAGTGGTCGGGGAGGGTTGTTCTTCCCTGAGTTTGGGGCTCCCCTCTGCCCGCTGGGTTCCAGCTGTGGCTTACAGCTTGGCTGAGCCCTCACTGCCATTTACCATGGTAACTCTGTGCCCTTGGTCAGTCCCAGATCCCTAGCCAACATAGAGAAACCAGGAGCAGAGATGCAGCCTGGGACCCTGCCACTCTTGAGCAATCTGAGTCTTCCATTTTTTCTCCTTCCTGCTTCTGTTCCTCAACCCATCCCTGTTGTGCAGTCCTCGCCAGCCACACAGCTCTGTCTTCATGGGGCTCTTCCACAAGCTGGTATAAATTAGCCATGTGGCAGAAGGTGAGCTTGTGGGAGGCTCTGATGAGCTTCAGTGCTGAGCTGACATCAATGCCAGGAGCAGAGAGCCGAGCGAGGGTGGTGAAAGAGCAGACTACGCCTTTCTGCTGCACAGCCTGCTCTGAGAGCAGGCCCTGAAACGAGCCACCAGCACGTCTGATCTTAGGCTGCTGGCATCACTGGCTCTTGGAGAAAGATCCTTCCCTCCCCACCTGCCCTGGAGGTGGGCAGCTGCCCCTGGCATAGGGTTGTCATTGCCCCATTCAGTTGCCCATTAGCACTTGGATGGGCTGCCCACCTTCCCTCTTGTTCTTCTGACCATCATAAGGAACTAGACTTTAGGGCGAAGGACCCTGTCTTCAATGGCAGAGCTGGGAGCAGAAGGGCTGGTGCCTGGTCCCTCCGCAGGTGCCACCCCTGTGTGCCCTGTGCAGGGATGGTGAGAATGCTGGAATTGATTGGGGTGGGTTTGCTGCGTCAAGTACTGGGGCATAGTGGGGCCTTGCTTGCAATATTGTCTCGTGGATGATATAGTGGGATAGCAGGAGGACCATTGCCTACAGTGTCATCTTGCTGAAACGTGAGGATTTACTGTGGCAATGGGATTCCCTTCATGAAAGGAGTTCAAAAGGAGTTCTGAAAGCCAAAGGTTTGTGTGTCTCAGATTTGTGATGCTTTTCCCTCCCAAGCTGTTTGGGGAATATTAACCAAATCCTGCTGATGTCTGGCTGGTTGAGTGTCCAGAGCAGTGGGAAGCTGTGCAGCCTCGCATGGCTTCACATCTCTTCCTTCTCCCCAATCTTCCTTCTCCCCAAAACTTTCGGAGGCCTCTTGTCATGCCCTGTGTTGGCCTAGGATGTACAAGGCCCAGCTGTGAGACCATTAAGATGTTCCTGTATGTCCATAAGCAGGAATGGAGGAGGTGCCTGATGTCTGCTTGCATCCAGTATGGGCACTGGTTTTACTGCTCTCTTTCTCTTGCTAGGTGGGCCCTGGAACTTTGCCTTCACTGTTAAATTTTACCCTCCTGACCCTGCCCAGCTCACAGAGGACATTACGAGGTGAGATGCAGAGCGATGGGTGAGTAGGTCTGAGAAGGGGCTGAGAAGCAGTGGGAGGTGAGAGGGGGCAGTCCCTGGGATAGGGATAGCAGTGCCAGGTGGGGTGCCGCCTTTGTTGCATTCCTCATAAGTGAGCTCTAGCCTGCACATTATGTCTGCGTGGCTCTCTGGAAAGCAGATGCCTTCATCTACTCTTGCCCTCTGACCCTTCCTCTTGCAGATACTACTTGTGCCTGCAGCTCCGTGCAGATATTATCACAGGGCGCCTGCCCTGCTCCTTCGTCACGCATGCCCTGCTGGGCTCCTATGCTGTGCAAGCCGAGCTGGGGGACTATGATGCTGAGGAGCACGTGGGCAACTATGTTAGTGAGCTCCGGTTTGCCCCTAACCAAACTCGAGAGCTGGAAGAGCGCATCATGGAGCTGCACAAGACCTACCGGTGAGTCCCAGGAAGGGATGGGGATCATGCACCTATGGGACAGGTGTTGGCAACTAGTGGCAAGAAAAGGCGTTAGAGTGTTGGCCTACATCCTGGTCACATTTTCCTCCCTCTCTGTCTCTCCCCAGGGGCATGACCCCAGGCGAAGCAGAGATCCACTTCCTGGAGAATGCAAAGAAGCTCTCCATGTACGGAGTGGACCTGCATCATGCCAAGGTACTGCTGCCATGGAGTTGCAGGAGGGTCATAGTCAGGGAGCAAGCACTGTCCTGCCCTGTCCTGGCATATGCCTCCCTGCGCAACCGAGACAGCTTGCTCGGGCTCCTCAGTGTCCTGATGTCTGGGACTCCTTGTGCTGCCTGTAGCTCTCATGCTGGTTTTATGCTGGCAGTGCAGTAGTGTGGAGAATATTTCAACATGAAGCCCCTTTTGTGCAGCTAGAGTGCCCCATAAGCATAAGCACAAAAGCTGAGCAGTGCCATTACTCTCTGCCAGGCAGGCCCATGTATCAGAGCATCTCTTGGGAGGAAATACAACACCGTAATGTAAGGTGGACTGTAGACTGGACTGGACCTTGCTGGAGGAGCTGAGCAGTTTCCAACTGTGTCTCTTCCCTCCTCCAGGATTCAGAGGGCATTGACATCATGCTTGGCGTCTGTGCCAACGGCCTCCTCATCTACAGGGACAGGCTACGGATCAACCGCTTTGCCTGGCCCAAGATCCTCAAAATTTCCTACAAGAGGAGCAATTTCTACATCAAGATACGCCCTGGTGAGGTGGGTGCTGTGGGCTCAATGTGCCCCAAGAGCAGGGCAAGTTACCTGCTTTTTGAGGGCACAGAGGGCACCCTGTGCAAGTTCGCAGACAATACCAAGCTGGGTGGAGTGGCCGACACTCCAGAGGGCTGTGCTGCCGTTCAGAGGGATCTGGACAGGCTGGAGAGCTGGGCGGAGAAGAACCTCATGAGGTTCAACAAGGACAAGTGCAGGGTCCTGCACCTGGGGAGGAGTAACCCCAGGCATCAGTACAGATTAGTGGTTGACCTGCTGGAGAGCAGCTCTGCAGAGAGGGACCTAGAAATTCTGGTTGACAACAAATTAACCATGAGTCAGCAGTGCCCTGGTGTCCAAGAAGGCCAATGGGATCCTGGCTGCATCAGGAAGATGTTGCCAGCAGTTCAGAGGAGGTGATCCTGCCCCTCTACTCAGCTCTGGTGAGGCCGCACCTGGAGTACTGTGTGCAGTTCTGGGCTCCCCAGTGGAAGAGGGACGCGGAGCTTCTAGAGAGGTTCCAGCGGAGGGCAACCAAGATGATTAAGGGACTGGAACCTCTCTCGTGTGAGGATAGACTGAGTGAGTTGGACCTCTTTTCTTTGGAGAAGAGAAAGTTGAGAGGGGATAACATGTATGAGTACATAAAGGGAGAATGTAGGGAGGAAGGGGCCAAACTCTTCTCAGTGGTGGCCAGTGATAGGACAAGGGGTAATGGGTGTAAGTTGAAACCCAGTCAGTTCCATCTCCAGGTGAGGAGCAACTTCTTTACTGTGAGGGTGACGGAGCCCTGGAACAGGCTGCCCAGGGAGGCTGTGGAGTCTCCTTCTCTGGAGGTCTTCCACACCTGCCTGGATGCTGCCCTGTGCCACATGCTCTGAGTGTCACTGCTGGAGCAGGGGATTTGGACTAGATGATCTCTAGAGGTCCCTTCCAACCTCAACCATTCCGTGGTTCTGTGATTTTCCTGTAGCAGAGTTGTGCCTGATGGGTCTCGGCCTTGCTTTATTCTCTGCCCCAGCAGTTCCCGAGTTAATGGCTATGGTTAGCCAAGAAAGCATAGCTCATTTGGAAAATGGGGGTTATTAGCAAGTGTTTTTTTGTTGAGTCTCTCATTTTATCATTGATGACATGACTTTGGCCAGAGCAGTTCAGCAGCACACCTCTCCCTGGTTCCCTAGGTATTATAACCACTTTGGCACTTGGATATTATGCAGGAAGTGGGATTCAGAAGATTTTTTTGTATTTTTTTCTCTTTTTTTTCTATAAATATTTTTCCTCTTATATTTTACTTTTTTCTTTTACATGCACTGATGGGAGAGGATATTTCTGATTAATTGTCTAGTAGAGGAGAGAAAACCAAGAAAAGTACATCTAAAGAGGAGAGAATAAATCTGTCTCACCTAAAGAATATTTTTTTATATATATATTTCTTGAGGGTATGTCTCTAGAACTGAAAAACCATTGCAGAAAGTTGCAGAAAGTGCTTAGACTGAAAGTGCAGATGGAAGAGCAGGTCTTCTCATCCAGTAGTGCTGGTCATGGACCTTCTCAATGCTGGTTTGAATAAGATATTGCTGCATGGCCATGGCTCCTGCTAGGGGAACCTGAGAGCCTTGATGAGGAGATCCCTTCTCATTTTGTCCTTCAGAGCAGGATCTGCATGTAATAGCATGTCTCTGTCTCCTTCAAGTACGAACAGTTTGAGAGCACCATTGGCTTCAAGCTCCCCAACCACCGTTCTGCCAAGCGTTTATGGAAGGTCTGCATAGAGCATCACACCTTCTTCAGGTGAGAAGACCTTCTCCATGCCTTAGAGGTAGACCTTCTGCTGCCTATGGCTTATATCAGCCTGTTCATGTAGGGAAACAGGAGACCCTCCAGTGCTTTCCTTCGGTTTCCTCTGCCCAGCCCTGTAAGGAGCTGGCTGTCTTCCTCTCACCCTTTGCCTGTGTAGGAGCAGCCCTCTCTGCGTGCCCAGGGCTGTTCCCTGCCTCATGTTGCTGTGGGAATGGCTACTCTGCCTTTATGGGGCAAAGAAGAGCAAGCTATGCACATCTCAACATCACATCTTTTTCGCCCCATGGAGGGGGAGGCTCTAGACTGTCGTTTCAATGTGCAGAGCCATCTCTGCTCCATAAGGCAGAAGCTGTCTGCCCAACTCTTCCACTTGGTAAAACCTTGGCATTATGATCCTTGCCTCATTTGTATGACCTTAAATTCCCCCTTCATCCCTGCTTCCCCATCAGCACCTTGCTGAGGCAGACACTTCTTCCTTACCGCCTCTCTCATCTCTGCTTGAAGTTGTCTGGGAGGAGAGGCCAGGAGTTTGCCCTGTGCTACTGCAGTCGATATGCATGCGTGGGACAGGGCTGGGCGGCCAGCTCAGTGCCACGTGCGGACTCACTAACGCGTGTTCCCTAACTCATCCCCAGGCTGGTGTCCCCAGAGCCACCCCCGAAGGGCTTCTTGGTGATGGGCTCCAAGTTCCGCTATAGCGGGCGGACACAGGCACAGACACGGCAGGCCAGTGCCCTCATTGACCGGCCAGCCCCCTTCTTTGAGCGCTCCTCCAGCAAACGGTACACCATGTCCCGCAGCCTTGATGGAGGTATGCCCTAAACTGGGGAGGGGGTGGAGACTGGTTCACTAGAGGGAGCGAGGAGGTGGCTGCTATCAGGCAAGAGCTGTGTGGGTGAGGGGTAGCTGGCCTCTGTGCAAAGGACTCACTGTACGTTGTCCTCCTGTGGCTCATTTCTGCAGGGAAAGAACGGCCTGGATCAGTCAGGGTTGCTGCAGTCCATGGGATGACTGTTCTAGGCTGCTTCTGATTGGGTCCTCAGAGAGCCTGTCCCCGACCCAAGTGATGGCCCAGGCTTGTGTGTCTGTGCATTAGCAGGGATGCAGACATGGCTGGCTCAGCCAAGCCAGGACTGGGACCTGGGCCAGGCTGGGGAGAAGGGGTGACTCCATTGGGCCTGAGTTCTAGCTCAACCTGGGTGTGCACAGATATGGGGATGGATTTAGAGGCAAGGCTCTTGAAAAGTGTAAGCTTTGAAGGAAGGAGCCTGGACTTTGGGGCTGCAGCAGTGTCAGTAAGCCCTAGAACTTGTCTTCCCTGATGCAGGTCCTTTCAGGGCTTCTTAGACAACTGGTCTGAGTCATCATGCAAGGGTGGAAGGCTGAGGAAGGTGGGTGAACAGGGACTGATGGCTTGCATGTCTATGACCTCCACTCTCTTCTGCATATGCAGAATTCTCACGCCCAGCTTCTGTCAGTGAGAATCATGATGGTGCAGAAGCTGAGAAGCAGGATGAGGACGGTGAGTTTGGCAGCAGGAGACGGTCTGAAGCAGAAGATGAGGAAGTGACTACTCCAACAAAAATCAAAGAGCTGAAGGTACAGACCTCATGGCCTATGACCTTGGAGGCTAGAGGGTGGGCTGCTTTTCAGAGCACTTCTGACATGGACTTGCCTGGGCCATTCTGGGCTGTCCTTAGAGAGAGGACAGGTGAGAGGCCAGCAAACAGACATCATGGATCTGTATCCCAACCCCAGGTTTGATTGCATTTTGGAAGAATCACCTCTGGGCGTGGTCTTCTAGAGCCAGTGCTCCACCACAAGGCTTGGTGTGACCCATTTTCTTGCCCTTACTAATGGCAGTGGGAATGTGACAATGGCTCAGCACTGCTTTCTGTTGTCTCCTGCCCTGAAGCAACTCTTCATTCTTGCAGGACCCTCCAGGCTATCTCACAGCTTGGCCTCAGTCAGAGATGGTCAGGCTGGACCTGGGAATAGCTCCCAGTCTGTTATGTAGGAAGGGGAAGAACTAAGTGTGGCAGTCATCACCGCTGTGCAGGCAGAGTTCCCGGCCACAGGGAATGCTGCCTCAATCTCTGTCTGTCCTTCTGCTCTCACAGCATGCTTGCAGAGGCATATCCACATGCGACCCTTCCCCCAGGCACGCAAGACAATGTATCCGTGAGCAGGCTCTCACCCTGAGGGGCATGCAGCTGTGCCCTGTCCATGGACAACGTTGGCCACCCAGGCTAGTTCAGAGGGTATCCCAGCCCATTTCAACCCTTAGCCCTTCTCCCATCCTGAGCAGGAAGCAGAGTTTTCAGTTCTTCTGTGCTTATTCATGCTGGTACGAGCAGGGCTCTACTATGAGTCAGGTCAGGTGTAGGCGTCCAGATTCAACTTGACTGTGACGTTTGCAACAAATTCCTTGGATTGACCCTGCTGGTTGCTTTTAATTCTCTCTCTGCTGCCAGTCGGAGCAGGAAACAACCCCCAGGCACAAGCAGGAGGTATTCTTTCTCTGGAGTATCTTAGTCCTCATTGGTGCATCATATTGTCCATCCTCCTCCAAGCAACACTGCGTGTCACCCTATTTACTGGAATAAAAGATGCACCAAGGTGGGGGGTTGATCTGCTAGACAAAGCCAATGGGCAAACAGCTGGGGGTCTAGCAACACAGCACACGCAGCAGCATCTTCTATCCCACTAAGTAAGGCAGTCTTCATCGTGTATGTGAGCAAGAGCCTTCCCAAGGCACAATGGATGGGCCACCATACCGAGTCCTTGGCTCATTGGGAAGACTTGGCTTCTGCTAATGTTATGGAATCCTTCATGTCCACTCCTTGTGTCTCCTTGTCCAACCCTGTGGCCCTAACTGTCCTATTGAAGAGGCAGCACAGGCACAGAATGGCCCTTTTGCTCATGCTTCACATTGGGACTTTATGCCCTGGCTTTGTTTCTGCTTTTAAGGTTTCCTGAGTTTTGGTCTACATCACATGCCCTGCACATAGGCTCTATTTTCAAGAAGTTCCTTGCTGCATCAGCAGTTTGCATGGCTTGTCTCCTTAGAGAGCTGGGTTCAAACAGCAGAGATAGAAAAGGCAAGGAATTTGCCAATTTGCCTTGGGCAAATAAATCCCAGAAATCCCTTGAGCATCTGCTTCATCCTCCTGTCAAAGGCAGGCAGCCATAACTAACCACTGTGTAGAGGAGAGTACTTGGACTGAGCTTGGCTGGTTTTCATAGAGAGGGATGTTGCAGAGAAGAGAGAGGTTGCACTCTCACTGAAGGTGGGAGGTCTTCACAAAGGCTGCCAGGCCCTCTCACAAATTACTGGTGTCTGTGGTAGCACCTCCACCAGAAACAGTTGGCAGAGACCTTCAGGTCCTGGTCTTGCCGATTCATTCCAGCCTGAAAATCACAACTACTATCAGGGCAGTTTCTTCTCTGTTTACAACAGTGGTTTAAATAATTGCTTGAGCTATTGACAGAGGTGGTCCCAGTGGTGTGTTTTCAGTGCACGGGCCCTTGCCATCCACATTCAGCACAGCAAGGAAATCCAGCCAGTGTGGTGGATGCCATGGTACCCCAGCAGGCCGGTTTCTCGCCCACTGTGGAGCTAGATACCTGGCTATGTTCCCTCCACTGTCTGCCTCATTGCTTACTCCTGCTGCATGTACTCGTGCTGCTTCCTGCGGTCCTGCGCTCCCCGACACTCCCAGGAGCCTAGAGGTGGGCAAGCCATGGGACATATGCTTCAGATATGCAGATGAACTGGGAGAATCTTTTCACAAATTCCACCGAACCTTCAGGATCTGAAAAAAAATGAGCTGAGCTTTTCATAAGAGTGCTTTGGGTCTCAGGTCTGTGGCTTTGGCACTCAGGAGAAACAATGGGAAGGAAAGCTATTTTAGTTGACTCCTTTCGAACCTAAAAATAGGTTTGAGCTTGAGACAGAAGTCAAGGTGAGTTCTTGTTTGGAGCTGCATTGCCCACCCCTATGGCAGAACAAGGGAGGTATCCTAGTGCCTGTAACATCACAAAAGATGCTCTGAAGCCCACATCTCACTTTGCACCTGAGCTATCTGAGCTGTTTTCTGTATAACAACCCAAAGCCCACCCCACCCCTGGTCTGCTGTTTAGCCTAAGTTGGTCTGTGTTGATTCAGGTTTGGGTCCATGTCATACATATTTGACTTTGGATTTACAGGAATCCACTTCTAGGGAATGCTGTTACCAATAGCAATGAGAGAGGCCCAAAAATTCTTCCTGGGAGGACTGGCTGCTCTCTCACCCGGTTGAGTTAGAGGCTCTTGGTTCCTTTGTGCCTTGTGGAGCAGCACAGCCTGGAGGGAGCCAACAAACGTGAGGCTGCTGGTATTTCCAGTAGGCCCACCGGCTCACCATCATGCTGATCTCAAGGAGCCACCAGCTCTCTGCCCCATCCTGATTTAGCTTGTCCTCAATACATCATACTTGAGATGCAAAAAGGGCATGTTTTGCCCTTCATGGAGGGAAATCAGACATGTCCATTCTGCCACTGATTGCCATTTTCCTGCTCCCTGTAATGGTCTTAGTGAGACTCACAGACCGGGGCTCCCAGACGCATGGTTCAGTTCTGTCTTGAGACCACAGATTGAAGCCCAGTGTGAAGCAAACCTCCTTAGTGTCCCTCCTCTTAACCAGTGCTTTAATCATAGCTGCCTTCTTCTTTCCTTCCTCAAGTTTTTAGATAAGCCAGAAGATGTTTTACTAAAGCATCAGGCCAGCATCAATGAGCTGAAAAGGACCTTGAAGGAGCCCAACAGCAAGCTGGTTCACAGGGATCGGGACCGGAGGCTGCCTTCCTCACCAGCATCTTCCTCACCCAAGCATGAAGATGAAACACCAAAGGGAACCCCAGAGAAGGCCAGAGAGGTTTGTTGTGCTACTTTTTGATGGAGAGGATTAGCTTGTTCCTCAGGAAGTGTTCATAGTTTGCTGGGTTCCAGATTTCCATCTCCAATGGTGTCCAGTGGGAGCATGGTGGAATGTGGGAATTATGTGGTGATGGCACTGTGTGGAGGAGAGGGCCTCAAACTGGAGCTGTTGCCACAGCTCATCAATGGCATGCAACTGGTGGTGATCGCCCCTCCTGTGTAGGCACTGAGTGGGGTCCAACTTCTCATCTGTCTTCTGGAGTCTGTATTTTGGGAGCTGGGCTGCATGAGGCTATGCTAGCCTATGAGCCTGGGGCCTTTCTCACCCTGGTACTACCAGGTCCTGCTTGCGAGTGCCCAGCACTGGTGTTCTCCTGCAGAACCGCACAGGGAGTGTGGGAGCAGGTGCTGGCACAGAGGTTGGTGCATGGGGCAGCCTCATGGGCTGGGCACCCACGTGGTGTGTGCAGCAACAGGGACAGGCACATCAGGCCAAGAGCGTCAATGAGGTGCTACACTTGGATCTTATATGCCCAACATGCTCCTGCCAGCAGGGAAGAAGGGGATGAGCTGTGCAGAGCCCTCCCCATCACTGGTGGAGGAGACCTGGAGGCAGTGTGGATGATGTGCAGAGTGGTCTCTTGGGCGACTCAGACCATGTGGCCTAGGCAGGGGTGTCTCCATACCACAATGGCTGACAGGGGTGCAAGATCTTCTCTGCTTGCTCTCCCCTCCTCAGCAAACTCTCCACTGCAAGGGCTGCAGAGCTGGCCCTGTGCAAGCACTTATTGGCATGTCTCCAGAGCTGGATGGCCACCGCACAGAGCATACTCTGACCTGAGAAGCTCTCTCTGAGCGAGAGGAAGCAAGGATCACTGTTGGGAATGGTTCATGGCCCTGGGAGGGATGCTGAACCAGGGGGTCTCTGTAGGGATTTGTGATGTGCACGTGTGTTTGCTGCTTTCCAGCACTGCTTGGAGAGATACAGCTGGCTGGTCTGGGCTCCCCCTGGCCAGGGCTGTGGGAGCAGAGGTGAGCTGAGGGAGCTCACAACTACTCTTCAACACACAGACTTTGGGCGCAAGAGGTTTCAACACACATCTGTTATACAAGCAAACATGTAAAGTTCAAAGACCTAAGTGGAGAATCTAGAGGTGGAATGTCTGTGATCTCTGTTCATCCATCCATTCATCCATCTGTACCTTCATTCCTTCTTACATGCTCTTTCTCTCTCTTTCTGTGTCTTTCTGTCTCTCTCTCTCTCTCTCTTTCCCCATGGGTGCTGGGTTTTTCCTGCTGACACAGAGGATGGAAGAAGATACCGTAGAGGATTTTTCATCTGAGCATGGAGCTTCCCTAAGCATGGAGTCTTTCACGCAGAAAAGCCTTGTCTCCTCTCCTGAGGTTGTCACCATCCCCTTTCTCTCCCCACCCCAATCTGTCACTGTTTTGGGCCATGTGTAATGCCTCTCAGGCAAACAGGGGTGATCCCTACCCTGCAAGCAGAGACCAAGCCATTTGCTGGCACCCTCTCCTGACATGGGCAGGATCTCTCATCAGGGTAGGGCTTGCTACTCCTTTGGCCATATCTTCCAGGCTGTGAGAAAGGGGCTGCTGTGCAGATCTTACAGCAAAGCACCACTCTGCATTTGTCCAGGGCTGGATGCAGTCCCAGCAAGGGAACAGAGCTGGTTGATGCTGGGATTGCCAGGAGGCAGTGCTGAGGCCCAGGGTGCAGGGCCCTCTGCATATGTCCCTCTCACCTAGGTGCAAGCAGGCACTCAGCTACAGCTGACTGTCTTTAGCAATTCCTTGTGCTTTCCTTTGACTTCAGCTGGAATTACTGTTGTCAGGCTCAAGTATTCAGTCTCTGGATAGATTAGAAACGTTTGACTTCTACTTGGGTGAAGCAGGTTTCCCCTGCCTTTACAATCTTTTTGTGGTGCCTGCCTTTGAGGGATGTTGGCTGTCAGTACTGCTTGTGTTGAGGGTTTTATAGCTGTTGCACGATGGCAGCCAAGTGATATTGCTGAGTGGAAGAAAAATGGACTTTGAGACCTAGTTCTGTTGTGGTTGGACCTGGCCACACTGAGAGGTGGTGCACAACAGAGCTGGTATGTGTATCGTGTCTAAGTGCATCCAGAAAGTTGGTGTTGGTCTGGGACCGGTGCCAAGGCAGGGGCTGTAGGGGCAGGCAAAGTACTAGCTCTTCTCTGCTGCTCTGCATGGTGCCAGCTTGAGTGGGCAGCTGTGCACTGGGCAGGATGGCCAGGAATCCTCTGTGCAAGCCAGGGATTGTGTCCTGGGGGGAACAATCTAGAGAGAGTGTGGGCAGGCTTGTCTTGTTGACCTCTCCAGTCTAGCCTTGTTGTGCTCGGGGAGGTCTGATATAAGGGCTCCAGGTGGTGGCCAGCCCTTGGCTTTAGACTGTTCTGATAACCAAGTTATGACTTGGCTCAGTGCAAAAGTGCCTGATGTTGACCAGCTGCGCCCTGCCAAGGTATCTGGATCTCAAACCTGGGCTACAGTGCATGTCTGCAGAAGGGCAGCACGGGTGCAAGGGAGGACTTGAAGATAACCTGGGAATTCAACAGGAGGGATAGATGCTCCTTCGGTGAGACTCGGGCTCTGCAGTAGCATCTCCTGGTCTGTGCAGTGACCCTCTGCCTGCCAGTATTTGAGAGTTAATACAAAATTATTGCAGATAACAGCTCTGTACACCTCTGTAACAACAGAAATTCTGCCAGAACTGAGCTCCACAGCCCCTGGCCAGAAACAGCAGAAGAAAGATGAGCACACTTGTGCTTAACTTGGGGAATCATCCCCTCTGCCTACTGGAGAGGAGTCAGGGCCTAGCTGTGGTGCCCAGCCACTGAGCTGGGCTCACCTTTGATTTCTCAGTATGTGTTAGTGACTAAGAGTCATCAGTTGACATAGAGCTGCTGTGATTTTTGTCCTTACTTGACCTGTGTCTTCACAAGGAATTTGCATCCTTGGAGAGAGCTGCTCAGGCCATGTGTGACCAATAGCAGGGGATTTCTGTGCTCATCACATGTTCTCGCCTTCCCTAGATGGACTGCATTGGCAACAGTGGGATTTTCCTCTGCTCAGAGGAAAAGAGTGCTTGGTTTTGAGATGATTAGAATCTCTTTAACTTTGGGTGACAAGGCAATGCAATGCATTGTCTTAAGAAGCAGAATTAATTCATTCTTCTCTCTTTTTGTGAGGCGGTGCTTTCCTTTAGGTAAAGTTGAGTTTTCCTAAGGAGCAAAGGAAAATGGCAGATACAGTGAGGTGTGACAGAGGGAGAAACCTCCTGCCTGCCTATGAGCTCCTCCAAGGAGTTTAAGCATTGCCTGCATCCATCAGGTATATTAGGTTGTCTCTGCTTCAAGTCATTTCTTTGCTTTCTGCCCCTTTGCTATCTCTTGTGACATGTGTAGGCCATAGCTGATATGTCTTTCTAGCTACTCCTGATTCTTGGAGAAAATCTGTTAGGAAAGATAGAATGAAAAGCTTTAAAAATAAATTGTCCCTTGGGAAATCAAGGCTGTTATACAGGCAAACTCTTTTTGGCATCCTCAGTTTTTAGACTCACTTACCGTCTTGGCACAGTCTATCCTGACAGCCTACTGATCACCTTTTTAAGGTTTTCTTTCTTCTGGCAAGCTCCCTTCTGAAGCTCCAGAAGTTTTCAGCTTTCCTGGAGGACATATCCAGGTATCCAGATATCTGCAGCAAACATCCCCAGGAATACTCAAGCTCCAGAGACACTGGCTGCCAAGAGCTGTGGAACCAAAGCTGGCTTTGAACTGTCTGGAGCAGAGAATGCAGAGCACTCCACAGAGTATACGGCTATTTCCATGGAGTGGACTCTGTTCATACCAAGAAAGTTTCTTGGAGTTCTGAGGAGAAGAAAGGTGGTTTGGACATAAATCTGGAGCTTTTTGTCTTTTTCTTCCTGATTAAGAGGTACGGCCATGAATAAACATACTGTACCAGACTTCAGAAAGCTAGTCTTAAGGCTCTCAGATCTACAGCATTTATATGGAGCCATGATTTCTGAGCCAGAGCCTGATCAGACTCATCTTTGCCCAGGGAAATATTCCAAAGGATCTTGTTTTCCAGCCAGAGAGGGAGGAGGGGAGCAGTTTTGCTCAAGGAAATTGTGCTTCTGGTATCATCTACGTGTCCTTTCCTTGCCTGGTATGAGGACTCTGCAATGAGGTCACAGTACAGGAGCAGAGCAGAAGCTGCTAAGCTCTGAGGAATGTAGGCAGTCCTCTGGTTGAGGTGGAACATGTTCCTCTCTACTACACTGGGAGGCTGTTGTTCAGGGACCAGAGATCTAGCAGGGCTTCCTCGCATACCTAGGAGAGCCAGGGAGTTGGTGGTAATGCTGCTTTCGTAGGTCAAATTTGACTACAAAAGACATAGCTCTAGCACAGTGCTCTTGAAGGTCACTGACTACTCCTACTGTGGTTTCTGTGGACCAAGGGGTAATGAAACTTGCATTAAGAGATGGCAGAGGAGGCAGGTGTGAAGGCAGCAACCTGAGGAGCAGTCAGTGATTGGGAATATGAGATAGGGGGAGAAGCAAAATTGGCAGAATGGGTTTCCTGGAGGACAGGGCTGCCTGGCTGTTGCGGACTGTGGGATGCCAGATATCATGGCAGAGCCTCTGCTCAGCCTGCCCAGACTTGTCCACTGTCATGGAAAAGGATCGTGCTTGCATTTGCACAGGAATGGTGCTCTTTATACCGCTTTGTACTCCTGGTTTAGATCTGGAGGGAGCATAGAACCAGTGCTGGCCATCACTGACGTAACGAGGCAAGGCTGGAGTGACTGTTGTGTCCTCATGTGCTTGCCACCGCTGCCAGCTCTGGCCAGAGCATAGGTGGGAAGGGAGCTGGCATGCTGTTTGCTTTTGCCCAAGTGGGGCCAGACTCCTGGCTTTTGAAGTTCTGTTTCTTAGAAACCTCAATTCTTCCTTTCTTGAGCACCAACGGGAAAAAGGTGGGAACTGGGGAATGACATTTGTCTGTTGGGTGGTAAAATTCACTGATTTCTGATCTCCCTTTTTTAACTCCATGTGGAGGCATTTTCACTCGCAATGGCTTTTCCTCCTTTCTCTCTCTCTTCCCTAATATCCCCTTCTCCCAAACACACCTCCCCACCTCTTGTCTGCTTCCTTTTGCCCTGAGCTTCCCCTTTGCTATATTCAGTTACTAGATTTCCCCTTTGGGTATAATGGCTCTATTATCTGCAAACACATCAACTTGACATCCCTGTCCTGGGCATTGCATGTCCAGCTCTCCTTTGCACTGATTCGCCTTCCTAGGCTAGTGCAGGGAGGGTGCAGGTGGCTGAGCCCTCTGTGGCTGAAGTGCACACTTGTGCCGTAGATGGTCAGTCTTAATTCATGCTACAGAGCACCATCCTTCAGCTGAGATGCTGGGTCTGGATCTCAGTTGTCTGTCCAAAAGCAAGAGCCCTGGGCATCCACATAGTGGATGGACCCAGTGCAGGGTGGGCAGCCTGTGCGTGCCAGTCTGTTCTCCCACGATTGCCCCCTGTTGAGGTCTGAAGGATCATGCCTTAGGCCTCGTCTTCCACACAGATGATGTGTATTTTTGTCAGTGGGAATGTCCATTGATGTTTTCCTGCTCTTCTGTTGCCATGCGTTATTTTCTACCTTCTGTTCCGGAAATGATTGAATTTTTAGCAGTTCTTTATGCTTGAAGCTCATAAAGTCTGTATGTCTTGTAGGGCAAGCACAACACAAGAATGTACAAATGTATGCTTCTAATTATAGCAATAGTAGTCTAGGATCCTTCTATACACAGCAGCATAGATATGCTAAGAGGTGTATTACATGCTCCCTGTGTCGTTGCTGTAGGATGCTTAACTGCCTTTGCTTGGTCCTTGCTGCAGTATTTGTAGTTGTCTCAGCTGCCAAGCCCAAAGTCTTTTATATTGTAGAGGTGACCTTTTACAGTTACATTTTCTGAGCTGCGCGGTTTCAGCATTGCTAGAAACCTCAGAGAAGTTGTTGCTTTTGATGAGATTTCCAGGGAAAGCTAAGGAAGGAAGGACTGGCTTTGAAGTAAATCTGAGCTGCAGGATTTGCAGCAGGACAGGAAAGGCCCTTTCTAATGACTAAAGGTGGTTTCTCTTCTTTGCTTTAGCACTAGGGTTTGTGGGTGAAGTTGAGAGCCTAGTCAAAACACAGGCTGTTGCTTACAACAGAATCTCACCCTTTGGGGACTGCAAGAGCCATAGTTGAAATGTGCAGTCCTGGTTTGGTTTATCCAGCTGAGCTCCACTGCTGTTTGGGATGTGCTGCGATGGCTTCTGCTAATGGTTGTGATAGGAATATTGCCCCCATCTCTTTATGTCCCTCAATGACAAATATTTCAGATGCGTTCAGTAAATCCTCACCCAGAGCAAATGTTCCCTGGCCGTGGAGGGTCTGGGGGAGGCTCAGTCACCTTTGCTGCATCAGTCCCATTATTTTCAGTCCCTTCTGCCCTTCCACTAGTTGTTAGGTTCTTAGTAACTGCCTCAGTTATTGCATGAATAATAATAATTCAGTCAACCCTATAGGAAGCCAGTTAGCCTTCTGTTACTTATCAAAGCATTCATCGGCTGTTAGGTAAAGTATGTTTGACGCTAACTCTTCTTGCTCCAATTGCAATACAGGGCTCGGAGCATTGGGTATTTATAGAGAGAGAAACTTCTAGGCTGGAAGAGGTAGCTCTAAAGAAAGCTCTGAGAGTCAAGAAAGAAGAAGCATGTGCAGGTGCATCAGAGGTGAAAATGAGTGTGAGCATATCAAAAATGGAGAAAATAGGGAAAACCAAGGAAGCTGCAGGCCCAGAAGAGCCAGCAGATACAGCCCTGGATGCCCGTCGAAGAGCAAAAATGATCGCTAGTCCAGAGGATTTTGAGTCTGTCTGGGAGGATGAGATCTGTGAGAAAGCGACCAGGGAGGAGCCCAGCACGGAAGCAGAGCACTTGCCAGCTGAGAGGGGACACGAGGAGCCCAAAGAGAGGAGAGAGGAAGTGATTATCAGAGAGCCACGTCTGTCCAGGCCATGCCAGAAATCTGAAGAGGAGCAACGGCCTGACATTTCAGACCCAGACTCTCATCAAAGTGAAAGCCAAGTGGGCTCGGAAGAGTGTGTTTCTGCAGCCTGCAGGAGGCAGGAGGCCAGGATGCCAACCACAACCACAGAGGTCATTAAAATTAAAGTGAAGTCTAATGATGACAAGCCTGAGACTTCTGCTACACAAAGGATCATCTACTTAGATGATATAGAGGGAGATCAGAAGGACAACAAAACATATCTGCTCTCAGAGCCCGGAGAAAGGCTTGACTTGAAGGAAGGGCTAGAAACTATGGTAAATGAACCAGGGGAGGGCTCAGGGCCCACTGTACCTGCAGAACAAGGATCACAGTGCACTTCCTCAGTGGGCGAGCAAAGGAAAGCAGTTTCAGATAACCTTGCTCTAGAGCTAGACCAATGTGAGAGAGGCTGTGATGAGACAAGCCCTTTGGGACATCCTCACTCCAAGAAGGAGGAAGTTTTGTCAGTTCAACAGGAACAAGCATCTGTTGGGCTGACAGACCATGAAACGCAAGGGAGACATCAAGCCATATCATATTTCCAAGAGATGGAACTGGAGGAAGAAGATCTGCAAAGACCAACAAGAGAATTTAAGCTGTGTGCTCTGTCAGTTGAAGGGAGAGGAGCTAAGGATGAGCTACAGGAGGGTGAAGTGGAGAACCCAGGGCTGAGACTGGCTGCGGGAAACCACAGGGACACAGATAGCTCCACTGCAGAGTGGGAGGTCTCAGAAAGGATCATTGCAGAGGGAGAAGAGGAGGAAAGTTCCAGAGTGGTTCTTCAGATGGAAGAGATAGAGACTAAACCACCCACTTTAGCTGTGCCTCACCAGGGCCATTCTGGTGCCACGGAAGGGTCAGAGGAAGATAAACTGAAGGCTCCCACCCCTGGACCCTTACCTCAGCAATCAGACCCTGGCTCTGCAGAGCTAGCCCAGGATATGGGGCCAGCCCAGGACACACAGCCCAAGAATAAAGAGCTGGCCCAAGGCATCAACTCTTCAACAGATGTGGAAATAATTGAGAAAGTGAACCTCACAACAGAGATAATACTCAAGGATGCAAGTTCCATACCAGGTGAAGAAACACTCAGGGACATGAACTGTGTAACAGAGGTGGAAATACCCAAGGACACGAGCCCTGAATCTGTAAAACAGCTCCAAGATATGGGCTTTGCTACAGAAGAAACACAGCCAGGTGCAAGTCCTGTTGCAGGACGGCCACCCCAAAAGAGAGGTGTTGCTGCGGTGGAGCTCTTCCAGGTTACAGCTCCAGCTCCAGGGGAGGTGGTTCAAGACACAGACCTTGCCACAGGGAAGGCAGTTCATGGCAAAGTCCCTGCCACAGAAGAGCCACTCCAGGAAGAAACGCCCCCAATAAAAGAGCTATGCAAAGAAATAGAGTTCCTGTCGGGGAAGTTGCCCCGAAATAAAGGCAATATGGTGGAAGAATTGTCTTATAACAAAACTCCTAGCCCAGAAGAGCTTTCTCCCAAGGCAAAAGAAATGGAACTTCAAATGGGCACTATAGCTGGGGACCTGCCCCAGAAGGATGCTGAGGCTGGAAGGCCACTCCACACTGCAGCCCCCAAAGCACAAGAGCCACACTGGGACTTGGAGTTTAATGTGGGACAGACTGTGCAGGATAGGAGCTCTGTAGTACAAGAAATCACCAAGCACAAGGGCCCTGCCCCTCCTTCTGAAGAAGGTGGTCGTGTCCTGCATTTCCACTCTTCTGTGACAGGATCATGTCAAGGAAGCAAGTTGTATCAACCTTCTACCTTTAGATATGAAGGCAAGGCAAATCTGCAAGCTAGCAATAGGATACAGAAAACAGAGTCTGGGTCACTGATGTCCACTGCTGGGAGGATAGAAGCTAGATGCCAAGAGCTTGGAGATATCACTGTGGCTTCAGCCCCAGTCCCAGGGGCCTGGCAGGATGGTGAGATGTATGAGAAAACCTCAGTGGCTTCTAAGATTAAGATGTTTGAGCAGGGCGAAGCTGAGCAAAGGACAGCACAGGAGGAACAAGAACACATGCCTGAAATTGAGACAGCAGTGAAAAAAAGGGGGAAGATGGATCTGGCACAGGACACACTTCTGGACACAAGCCTCCTCTCATCAACCATTTCTGCAAGACCTATGTCCAATGTGGGCTCCTTAGCTTGCAGGCAAGGAGTTGATTCAGGAGACTCATCCCAGCCTCTGTCTCTGAAGGAAGATGTTTCTGTTGATTTGGAGCATGAAGGAGAAGATGCTGACCTTGCTTCTCCCGACTCTGGCTGCGAACTCACACTGGCAGAAGCCGTGGTAACTCTTCCAATGAACTGTCCAGATGGAAAGTTCATACGCATGTTGTGTGGCTCCTTATTATCATATTCAATGGCTCCTCACACATCCATTGACTGAGACCCGTCGCTTTGCATCCCCTGTCCTTTTATGTATGTGTGTGCAGTCGGGCTTCTTTGCTGAATGCAGATCCGCTGGCCAGTGAGTTCATCAGCTTTTGTTTTGTGAACCCCAACAGTTTGGCTACTTGGAGAATGCCAGCCGCTACCCTAAAAATGGGCACCCAGGCTTCGTGTCCAGGATCAAGGAAGGGATATGGGGTGGGGGGTGGCTTAAATAGCTGTGAATCTGTCACAGACACGTACACACACCTAGCAGCAGCGTGCCCACGCTTCCAGCTTCACCCTTGCATTTCTTCTGTTGATATCCCTTCTTGCTTGGCTCTCCAGCCTCACCCATCCTCCCCTGTCTTCAGCAAGCTGGTGGCTGGATGGTGAAATAGCTTTCTTCTGCTCTTGTAAGCTCTAGATCAGCTCCTGTAGAGTTCACTTCTTTAAAACTAACCCTTTTCTCTAATCCAGAGCAAATCTCAGGAACCAAGTGGGGAAGAAAAGGATTTATCTGATCCATCAGTAAAATCCAGCCTGAAAGAAGACAATTTAAGGACTGCTATTCCAGTAGTCCTCCAGGTCTCAGTGCTGTTTTACTAACTGCTTCTTGCCATAGTATAAAAGCTCACCTTAACCATCTGAGGACTGTATGCTTCCAACTCCTCTCCCCTCTGCAAAGCTGTTATGTATATATTTATATACGCACACACATATGTGTATATGGGTGTGTTCCTGTGGACTTTGTTTGACACCCTGTTTCTCATACCTCTCAACCTCCCAGTTATGCAAACAGAGGGTGCCTGCACTGGCTGATTGGAGGGTTGGCTCTGGCTGAAAATGCTTGGCCCAAAGTCCAAGAGAATGGCTTCCTATGGCATCAGTGGACTTAGAGCAAATCCTAAGGGAGAAATACGTAGAGTTACAATGCAAAATAAAACAGAAGCATGGATATGGGTTTCCCATGGTTTTATGGCAGGGAGTGGGAAGAGGAAGTTCACCCTCTGATGGTAGAGTTGAGAGGTATGTCTATGTTTGGAGAGGAGCTAAGGGAGGGAAGCTGTCCTATGGCTCTAATCATGCCGTCAATAATTAAACATCAAATTGGACAAGACTTTGGTGTCATCCCTCCCTTTATCCCTCCCTTTCACGTGAAGGCTGGGGTGATGCTCAGCCAGGACACAAGGCAGATACTCCTTTTGGGGCAAGCTCAGTGGAACTGGCAAGCACCTTTGCTTCTCTTTGAACATATGTGGCTGACAGGGCGTCTTTCTTTTTTTCAGACTCTTCTCTCTCTTTCCCTTTGTTTCTTTTGGTTCCCAGCTTTACCTAGCGTGATAGCACTGGCGTCTGAGCTGTTTCTGAATGTCTCTTAAAAGACCTGTTGTTTTGCATACATCTGCTTTCACTAGGTGCACTGACGTGCCTCCAGGCTCGCCAGGCATTTCTATGAGACTGACCCTTTTACTCATACACTCATGGTTAATTACCAGTAGGCTTTTGGCAATAAATAAATAAATAAAAGATTGGTTAACTCCCCTGCTCCCTGCAAAGTTGCTGCTGTCAAAAAGGTTTCAGTTTTCATGCTTGAGTTGTGTTTGACTTTACTCTGTTACGTTTGCTGCAACCTTCTTTTTCTTCCTCCTCCCCTTGTCCCATTGGCATAGCCAGCACTGTTGTGCCCCTTGATGCTCACAGTCTCGGTGTCTCTCCGCCCTTGTGTCTTATTCAGAGAGCGGGCGTGAGGGAGGGTGCCGAGGAGAAAGCTAAGCCGCCTCGGCACAGGGCTCCTGAGAGTGACACCGGTGATGAAGAGCAGGACCAGGAGAAGGACGCGGTCTTTCTGAAGGACAACCACCTGGCCATCGAGCGCAAGTGCTCCAGCATCACAGTTAGTTCAACATCTAGCCTGGAAGCCGAAGTGGACTTCACAGTGATTGGTGACTTTCATGGGACAGCCTTTGAGGACATATCCCGGAGTCTGCCCGAGCTGGATAAAGACAAGAGTGAGACAGAAGATGAAGGCCTGGTTTCTTCGCAGGAAACTGAAAAAGTAGCTCCTGGACTTGAAGAGGATCTCAAAGGAGGGGAAAAGGTCTCCCAGCCTAGCCCAGAAGTATCCCAGCAAGAGGTACAAAAAGAGAAGGCATCCACCAAGACTGTCGTAGTACCATCATCCCTCGGTGTTCTTTGTGCCCAGTGTTGCTGCATTGGCATGTAGTCCCATGTCTGTTTGGAAGAGCATGCTATCTTTCAAAGAGCTCCATGTTCCTGTCTGGTGTGACTGTTTTACCCTAACACAACTGTCGTCTTTGTTGCATGGTTGTCTCAATTTAGGCAGGTGCATGGCTCTCTCAAGTGTGTTCTGTGCATCTGCTAACCAGAAGAAATCACATTCTTAATCCGCTGTGTTTGACCTCCTGCCCTGCCCCTTGCACCATGATGGCATGCTGGCAGCTGGGAAGGGCATGTTTCTCTAACTAGCGACTGTCCCTGTGTTTTGCATGAAGTCAGTGAATAGCTTGCATTGTAAAGAGAAGTGTACTGCCAACTAACCTCTCTGACTGTGCAGGGGGTGGGAGTCACTTATCGCAGAGCTGGTGTGAACAGCCCCAAGGGTTGGGATGGTTTCTGTTAGGGGAGCACTTATAAGTGGGCTAAGGAAACTGCATGTGGCATGTCTTTGTAAGTGGAAGCTGAGCGTGTCCCACTGAGAAATGACAGCACAGCTGGCTTCATCTTGCACGGAACATAGCGTAGCCTTTGTGCGGGGCCAGGGCCAAGCCCTAGAGCAGCAAGCGCGCTGCAGATCTCCTCCCAGTGCCTGGCTGCTCTCAGGCAGCTGCTCTGCAGTGCAGACCATGAGCCCTTACTGGCAGGTAAGTCCCCACGCTGCTCCCTGATGAGCTAGTGGCAGAATGAGTCCAGAGCAAAGGAAAAGCAAAAAGTTAAAAGATATATTCTCTAAGACAACCTATGTGGTATATGACCTGAAATCCTGTGCGGATTGTGTCTTCTGACTTAGGATGCTAGGCTAGGAATTGTAAGATTCATTGGGTCTATGGCCATGCATGGGACAGGGGTGGCTGATAATTCAGGAACATGAGGGACTCACTGGTGCTCGAATCAGGCCTGAGTAACCACCACCTGGCAGGAGCTCTAGGGCAGCTCCACGTCCTCGTAGCAGGGACGTGCTGAAAGCCTCTCTCCTCCTTTCTTACAAGCTGGTCACCATCCGTCACCAAGGGTGTAATCACAACTGTCTGGATTTAAGGCAGACTCATCAACCTGCAATAGGTCACAAATGAAATAAGTTAGTTTAGGTATCATGAAACATAAGAGGATCAGTTTGCCCCAACCTATGGTGGATATAAATCTATGAAAATGAAAACAAATCTGGTGACAGCATCCCATACAATCCATACAATCTGGGGTCTGTCTGTTGTTTGGGGCAGTTTGCACGGTAGCTATTTGCACCCCAATAACAGCGTGGCCTCTGCTGTATGCTCTTGACGGTAGAACTCTACTGTTTCTCCAAACACTGTGTCCTCATTAATCCCTTCTGGCTGCCTTATGTCCCCAGGGCTATCAACAAGATTCAGCATTTGCAAGGGAAGAGGGATGCACTGGTTGTGTGGGCTAGCACAAGAGGAGGGATTAGGCATGTTCCTGCTTCTTATTAAGTCCTGGGACTAGAGCAGTCTGATGCAGTTGCTGACTTGCTGTGTTTCTCTTGCAGCCAGCAGTGCTGAAAACAGATGCCACAGCTTCTGGTCTGGCGTTGGGCACAAAGAAGCCTGAAGCAGAAGCCTCGGCCCCCCAAAAGGTATTTGCCGCAGAAGCAACCTGGGTGATGTGGTGCCTTGTGCTGGCTGGCTGTGGGGGCCAGAGACAGAGCTGGGCTCACCCTCTCATTGCCCTGTTTCATGGTGGGTCTGCAAAGCCTCCATTCATCAAAACCCACCTCAAAACGCAACACTGTGAGGGCAGATGGCCGAGCCAGGCCGTCAGGTTTCTCTGCTTGTCCTGGTCCTGCTGTAAACCCTGAGACATCAAGTCAAAACCTGCATGCATTTTGCATTTACTTTTCCATGCAAGTACTCCTTGAACCGCAGCCCTGCACATGCTTCCCTCACCTCGTCTCCCATGCTCCCATCAGCAGCTCTGATGTGCAGAGATATCTCTGGAGGGTGACACTCACTGTACGTGCTGCACCATGTTGCTGAGCATGTGTCTGTGTTCACACAACATCTTCCCAAGCTGCATGCCTTGGCAGCAATGGAACTAAAGCACCGGTTCTGCTTTAGCAGAGGTCCCTCCGAGGTACCTTCAAACTTACCAGCTTCCTTTTGCTTTTGGCAGGTGGAAGGAGGTACCCCAGGCAGCAAAGACGCAATAGCCACTTCCCACACTGTCACCACAGAGACCATATCAACAGCCTCAGTAAGCAGGGCTGACTCCTCAGGATGTGAACGGGTGCTGGAATCCCATTCAGTTTCTCTGAATTGATTATATTCTCAGGACTGGGTGAGGGAGGCTGACAACGGACTGTGATACTGGGGAAGGTGGGAAGTCCTCAGTCCTGCTGTTAAAGGCTCCGGAGGCTGAGGGAGACTGGTTGTATTTCAGTGCTGCCCTCTCAGAGCAAGTTACATTTGCCCTCCATGCCAATGCTTCCATGTGCTCTTCTTTCAGGATCACAGCACCAAACCAGGGAAAGGGACAGGACCCACGACAGACCTTCGCTCCGTGTCACCGGTGAGTAGAGGACATCAGCAGTGCCTCAGGCTCAATCCAGGGAGGAGGCCCAGAGGAAGGCACCCTGGCTTCTGAACACTATGCTGAGGATAGGCTGCCCTGGCCAGTCACTGTTGACTACTCGGGAGGCATGCTCATCCTATACTTCCAGCATCAGCACCCTTGGCCAGTGTGGTGGGACTGGACCAGAGTGGAGGAATGCACTAGTGCCCGAGGAGGAGAGGTTTGGAGAGCAAGAAGGCCCATGCTTGTGGCCTCTTCCCTGTGCCAGACTCACTCTTTCAGCATCAGCTGGAGGAGGAAAGATTCTGAAAAACAGACAGTCCCTGGTGAAGTCGTAAGCAGGCTGCGTTTTCCCTAGCCCTGCACATAGCTCTGCACATAGCGTGGCCTTGAGGGTGGAAGTGGAAGAATCAGATGTGGCAATGAAATCATCTCGCTGCCGGACATGGCCTTTTCCGCGTCTCTCAGGGTCTGAGCTACTTGTGGACACCTCTGCCTAGCCTCCACCCTCCAGAAAAAGTCTGTGCCCCCCAAAAATATGTTCCGTTGGAATAACACAACATGTCTTTTCTCTTGACATGGTCTGCCGTCTCTGCAAGCTGTTTATCTGCTTGGCTGGGCGGCTTTGTCTTGGTGGGAGATGCAGGACTAGCTCTCGTGTAGCTTGTCCTTCTCTTCCTTTGCTATTTCCTGGCTCTCAGCCTCCTGTAAAAAGGGAGAATCAAGTCCTCAGTGATGTTCTCCTCCCATGAAAGGTGTCAGAGGACAGAGGCTGCAGTAGGTGAATGAACCAGGCTCTTATTGTGCTTTTATTCATGGCTCTATCATGTAGAAGGAATAAGATGGGGAAAGATACTCATATAAGCAACAGGTTTTGAAAACTTGGATGTCTCAAATCTTGGAGGCAGCACTAGTGTCTTCTCCTGCATAATTCCTTGCTTTCTATTCTATAGATCACTGGCAGCTCTGCTGGGAAGGAGGTGCTCACCAGCATATTCAGTGCCACTGCGGAAACCCTCTCCACTTCCACCACTACCCATGTTACCAAGGTAAGAATATCTGCAAACATGGAAGCCCAGTGGATTTCTGATGAAAGATGCTACTCGTTTTTGAAGAGGATAGAAAAAAATGCTACTGTTCCCCTTACGAGCTGAAGAAGTGTGCTGTCCTGTGGGGGGAGATCCATGCTGCTTTCCAAAAACCCCAGCCCAATTCACCCCAATGTAGAGCAGGTTCGATTCAGCCAGGTGTGACCTAGGGGATCTTTGGGCATGGACAGACCATGTTTTGGTGGGCATACAATTTAGGTTGAATGGGTAACCCACATGCACTGTGACTGCCAACCATATCCAGCTGGAGGTGCTGGTAAATCAGAAGAAGAGGGAGTCACTGGATTGAGATGAAAGAACTGATTTCAGAATTGCTGGCCTTTCTGCACCCTCAAGCCACTTGCAAGGGATGGAAGACACTCTGCTTTAGGCAGCCACCGGTCATTATGAAGATCCCTGTCCATGCAGCTGGTGTGTGTATCCAGCTTAGAGGCAAACCCCAGATCCCCTTTCCTACCCAGAGCATTCCCTTTCTGCTATTGTGTTTGTATTTGGTTTATTGGACTTTGTTAGAGTTGGCATATTGCACACAGGGGGAAGGAATGTTAAAAAATAAAGTAGAAGGAACTGAGAACCTCCTCATTGGCAGTCTTGTTCATAGAACCCTTAAGGTTGGAAGGGACCCTTAGAGATCATCCAGTCCAATCCTCATGCACATGCAGGGTCATCTAGAGCATGTGGCACAGGCTGCATCCAAGCGGGTTTTGAAGACTCCACAACCTCTCTGGGCAGCCTGTTCCAGTGGTCTGTCACCCTCACTGTTAAGAAATTTTTCCTTAAGTTCCTGTGGAACTTCTGAGTGCTTTTGTTTATGGCTGTTTCCTCTAGTCGGATCAGTGGCCACCACTGAAAAGAGGCTGCCCCTTCCTCCTCACTGCCTCCCTTGAGGTATTTACAGACACTGATCAGGTCCCCCCTCAGCCTTCTCTTCTCCAGGCTGAACAGGCCCAGCTCTCTCAGCCTTTGCTCACAGGGCAGATGTTCCAGGCCCCTGATCATCCTCATAGCCCTGTGCTGGACTCTCTCCAGCAGCTCCACATCCCTCTTGTCCTGGGCAGCCCAGAACTGGACACAGTCTCCAGATGTGGCCTCCCCAGGGCTGTGTAGAGGGGGACGATCACCTCCCTCGACCTGCTGGAGATGCTCTTCTTAATGCACCCCAGGATCCCGTTGGCCTTCTTGGCCACCAGGGCACACTGCTGCCTCATGGTCATCGTGTCATCCACCATGACACCCAGGTCCCTCTCTGCGGGACTGCTCTCCAGCAGGTCCACCCCTAATCTGTACTGGTGTCCGGGGTTATTCCTCCCCAAGTGCAGGACCCTGCACTTGCCCTTGTTGAACTTCATGAGGTTTGTCACTGCCCAGTTGTCCAGTCTGTCCAGGTCCCTCTGGATGGCAGCACAGCCCTCAGGGCTATCAGCTACTCCTCCCAGATTGGTATCATCAGCAAACTTGCTGAGGGAGCACTCCATCCCTTCATCCAGGTCGTTAATGAATAATGAATAATTTCCTCTTGTGCTATCTGTAGTTACTCTGGAGAAGAGAGATCAACCCCCACCTCACTACAACCTCCTCTCAGGTAGTTGTGGAGAGTGGTAAGGTCTTCCATGAATCTCCTCCTGACTAAATAACCCCAGCTCCCTCAGCTGCTCCTCATAAGGTCTGTGCTCCCATCCATGCACTCTCACACTCACGATTAGCTGTGTCCTCTGTTGCCCTAGGCTGGCTTTATCACCCACTGAACTGAGGTTAATGGAAGGTGTGCTGGGCTGCTGCAGGAGTTTCTGAGGTGATGCTGGGATTGTCCTTCCCCTGGCGGCTGCAGTTCCTTTTGTTTCCATGGGAGTGCTCTGTAACAAATCCCACTTACACACAAGTAGGGGCAGCACGTTGTGGACTCTTGGCTTCATAATGTTTTTATTATCCATCTTATGACCATGTGGCCACAAGCTATTATCCCCTAGGAATAAAGCTTGTATCACAGCCACCCTCAGCCTTCTGCTTTGCTTCTCGGTGTGCATCCAGTCTACATTCTTGTGGCTAAGAAGGTTGTAGGCAAGGCTTTGAGACAGGGCAGGCATCACATTTGCTGCAGCATATTTGGGACATGAACCAGAGAGGGTTTTAAGGCTCCACATTAGCTGTTTGCACCAAAAGCCTGCAGCCCGTAGGGCAGGTGTAATGCCCTTGCTGTAACATGGTAAGTGGCAGGATGCTGCTGCCAGCAAGGAGGGATGCAGGCTGGAAATGAGTTCTGCTTCTTTCTCCATTGCAGACTGTGAAAGGAGGCTTTTCAGAGACAAGGATAGAGAAGCGCATAATTATCACGGGAGATGAAGATGTGGACCAAGACCAGGTAGGAGCACAATGCTGTGGGTTTGCTGACTTGTAGCTACTCCCCAGTTGCATCACTGGTTCTTTGCTTCTTTGCTCTGAAAACCAAATCCCTCACATCCTCAAGCCTGCTGGCTTTCTCCAGGCTGAGGAAGAGGGCAGGAGTCCATTTCTCCTAGGGGTACAGCGGTACTCCCAACAAACCCTGTCTCCATCTTGGAGGAAGTGACAGGAATTACCGCTCGTGCCCTGCAAAAGAGTTGGATCATGATTTATGCTGAACAAGAACTTGCAGCTCATTTCCCACCAGTGCCTATTGAAGGAATTACATTCCAGCACAGAGCCCAACTATAGGATTGTCTTAGTGTACATACGATTCCAGTTGACATTTCTCTGTTGAAATACTCTCAAGTTAGACAGGATTCTCTTGCAGAGTCTCACTACAAATTGGCTCAGTCCAAACTGATGTTTTTGCATTTACCTCCTTAAGACAAGGAACAAAAACTGGCAACATTTTTATGATGAAACAACAGAGATTGAAATCTCTGGGACCACAGGCTCCTTTTATTGTGATTTCATCACTGAAGATTTTTTGCTTTACAATAGTTTTAAAGGTCCAAAGTTGTCTTGAGCAGGATCTAAAATAATTCTAGAATTTTTAGAATTATTCAGAATAATACATTTAATTGGAACAATATTTAGATTTTTTGTTTTGTTTTGTTTTTTTGGCAGAGGGAATTGCTGATGTTCCTCTGTTTGTGTTTCATTAATGAGCCTGGAATGCTGTGCATCTCTGCATGCAAACACGCAAGCAAGTAAAGACGCAATAACCTGTGCATCACAATTCTTCTCTACAACCCCTCCAGTCAGTAGCAGCATTCAGCCCCAGATATTTTTTATACCCTGATTCTTTCCGGCAATGTTTATATCAGATTTCAGGGAAGTAATGATAAAATGCTTTCATCGTTCTGGTTTCTAGGCACTGGCTTTAGCAATCAAAGAGGCAAAACTACAGCATCCTGACATGCTGGTAACCAAAGCTGTGGTATACAGAGAAACAGAACCTTCTCCAGAGGAAAGAGACAAGAAGCCTCAGGTATGTAAAGAAATTGCCAGGTATGATCTGTACATGCTGCATAAGAGCTATATGTGACTGTACAAGTATCTCCGTCCATCCCTTATGCTCTTTGTTATGAACTAGCACAGTGGAGGTCTTTTCAGAAGTTCTTCCCAGCAGGAAGTCTTTAAAACGATGGGCAGGTGATTGCCCAGGCACAGTATCCCTCATGTCCTAACAGACTTCAGCACAGGATCGCACTACAGGTGGGCCCTGAAGGACATGTACTCGGGGACAGGCAAAGCAGGTCTGTGAGCACTGTTTCTGCCTCTCCCCATGCTATGCCACATGACCCAGTTTCTCTGACCTGGCTTTCGTTTCATCCCAAATGACTTCAAATTTCCCCCCAGGGAGCTATCTGTGGAATAAAAGGAAAGAAGTTATGTCCTCAGTTCGTGGGTATTATTCACTCCCCTGCTTTAACAGGCTAAGGCACATTTCTGCAGCTGGCCACAACTAACATTGGGGTCTAACCCCATCAGCTGTAAGTGCTGATGGGGAAAGCCGTTCCAATCATGCATGTCCCCAGCCAGAGTCCAGGTAATTTTGGAAAATCACCAAATCACTTGGTAACGTGATTTTGTTTCTTGATGCTATGAAGATTCTGATAGACAGCTTTTCAACTTGGGGAAAAAAATGATTCTCTCTGTTGTAGAACAGAAGGTCAGAAGAAACTTCTGCATCTTCATAACACAGAGCAAAAGACCAAGCCCATTCATTTCTGCATCTTTTTGGGAGCTGACCAGTTTTGATTTAATGCCTTAACATAAGGGAGACTTCAGCAGTAATTCACTGATAGCTTTCCCATACACCACCACCAACTCATCAAAGTCAGAGGTTTCTCTAATTGCTAGAGGTGCTGGTAATCAAGGGAAGACTGTGGTCCCAAAGTGTTTTGCAGTATTGTCCAGAGCCTTGCAAGAAAGAGGAGCCCTTTTAGAGCCCAAGAAGTAGGAGAGGGAGTTCTCTATGACCACACCTTTTCTGCCTTGTACAGGAATCTTGACCACCATGTTCACAGAAGTTGGCATCTGTATTCAAGCCTGGAGAATAGTGAAGAAGGATCCTTTATGCTGGATTTGTCAGCAAGACATAGACATCCTGGCTGCAACATTCATGGCAAGAGACAAAAATTAAAAAAAAAAAAAAAAAAAAGGAATAGCAACTATATTATATATATATATACATACATACCTACATATATATATATATATAAAAACAGGAAACAAAATGCATCCTTGCACTGCTACTGTTTGCTGGAAATGAATTAAAACCAACATTGACAACAAACAAAACCAACCATCTTTGCAGATAAATTGAAGAATTTAGCGGATTGGTGATAAAACAAAATTATAAAATCATGGTAATAACAGTAATGTTGTTAAAAGTACAATAAGCCACCGTCTTGCATGTTACCTAAAAGGATACACAATCTTGAGTTCATTTGTTGCATACGGAATGGAAAGGAAAACTGCTTTGCAACAAAGCAAGAAATAAGCAAAATGAAATAACAACCACAAGCAGAAGCAAACCCATTTCCCACCTCTGGAAAGAAGAGAGAAACCATTGAGTTTATTACTTTAGAGTTATTTTCCAATTTGGAATGTGTGGTTACACCCTTTTCCTTATTCTATGCTGGTTCTTTTGCCTTTTTTTAGGGGGGGAGGGTCATTAATTCTACCCCTTCTGTTCCATATCTTCCTCTCTGTGCATTTCTCCAGGCTCCTATTCTCTGAAAGTATTTAGGAATGGATTTCATTTCAAACAAAGCAAATTATATGTATATGGTTTCTCACTTATAGCAACACAGCCTATAGGGGTTTCATATGGATGTGCATTTAAGTTATGTATATTATTATATATAACAAGGGGGGAGGGAGGGAACAATATTGAAATAATTCAACAGTGCTGGTAAATATGATGATGACGTTTTTAAATTATTAACTATTTGATTGACTGTGGTTGGTGTATTTTGAGACTCTTAGCTCATACTTGGGACTCTTAGCCCTGCAAGAAGAGAACAGGGACAGTTTCAGCCACTTCTGTTTTGGGAGTAGGGGGAGAAAGACAAGACAGGTCCCACTGGCTGATCCGTGTGGCAGCAGGAGGGCTCTATTTGGTGCCTCAGTTTACTGTGTTTGGGATTGCTTGGTCAGTGCCGAGGCAGAGGGGCAAGGAAGAAGCTTCAGGCTGCTTTTCCTGCAGCCCAGATGCCAGGCGGGAATGTTGCCTGGCCCCAAGCCAAAGACATTAGAGTCAGCCGAGAGCAAGCTGGTGGCATGGTCTTTGCCCCTTTGCTGCCCACTGAGCTGTGGTAGCTGTGGGAGTTGTTTTGGTTTGGTTCTGGACCCCAGTAATGAAGTTAGTCGAGCACTGTAGTAGGAAGGGTTGGAGGCAAAGGGGAGCCGTTCCTGCCTTGCTTCCCCCACGGCCCAGGTGCGATGGCAAGGGCTGCCCAGGGCCCTGTGGGCCGCACCGTGGCGATGGCAGGGGCGGCACAGTCCTCCGCTGGCCTTGCCCCGGGTGCTGCTGAGGGAGACCACGCTGTCTGGTCGCCGCTGAGTGCCTTGCGCGTGCAAGGCATGGCTGGCCGAGCCTGGGCCCTCCATGTGGGAAGGGCCGTGCTGAGGAGATGGCAGTGAAGCTGCCTTTCCCACAACTCATCCCAGCTTGGCCTTTAGCAACAGCCTTCCTCCATGGCTGCCTTAGAACGGGATTAGGGGCCAAGGCCAGGGCATCGTACACTGTGAACCAGGCAGTTAGGGTGGACTTGGAACCAAAATCAGAAAGGAAAAGGAAGAAATGGGTTTCCTTTTTGGATTTTTCTTTTTCTCCTGCTGAATCAGAAGGGCCCACAATTCTGCACCCTTTTGCCTTTAGTCCTCCACCCCTTGCACAGACTGTGCCCAGAGTAGGTGCATTTTCCCACATCCAGCCAGGAAGCTGAGGGTGACCATGAACAGGGAGAACCTGAGCCATTAAGCTTTGTAGGAGTATACTTTGCTCACTGAGTTTCCTTAAGAGAGATCCTGTTCTCTGGCAGCCTTGGTCCACCAGCCACTTGCTATTATGTCCCCATGAAGTCTGTTTTCCTTCTGGCATAAAAGTTTCTTCTACGAGCACTACAGACAGGCTTCTTGAGAAGCAAATAGAATTGCTGGCCAATGCCAATGAAGATCATTTTGGGATTCTGATGAGTTCAGTCATGTAGTCTCCCCCCAGATTCTGTCCGAAGGCTTTTGGTTGCTTGTAACTTGCAGCTTTTAGAGACTAGACCTCAAGCCAAAAAGAGTTAAGGCAATTGCAGGGAGGCTTCTTTTCTCTCTTTTGCTTTTGAAATGTACCCAAAACAGCTGGAGGGGGGGAGAAAAAAAAATAAAAGGCAGTTGCACTTTCTGAAAGAGACCATGATGTTGATAGGACTTGTTCTCAGTGCCTGTGCAGGACATTCAGCCTATCTTGCCTGCTAGCAATGGTCTGCACATCACATTGTTTGCTCTCCGGCACTGTTTGCAATCCAAATCCAAAGGAGGTTCCCGTGGGTTTGGTACTTGTACAACTGAATTACAGGCCGCTTCAAAACTGGCTATAAAAACTAGTTATAAAATCTAAGGCCACTGTTGAAATTAGTAGCTTTACGCAGTTATGGAATTGATGTGAAATTGGGCTCAAATTAATTACGTTTAGAACTAAAACAACCCTCAATGAGTAGATCCAGTTTACTGCCTCCCGCAGCTTGTGTGATGGGTGGCAAAAGGAAGACGGAAAGGAGGCGTTTTGCTGCTTGCTGTGGCGGCGTGGAGCGGGAGCGTGGCGTGGGCTCGCAGCCCTGCCGGGCGGCCCCGCGTGGCCACAGCACAGCGAGGGCTCATAGCCCTGCCATGGTGCCGCGTGGCCACGGCACAGCGAGGGCTCATAGCCTCGCCGTGGTGCCACGTGGCCACGGCACAGCGAGGGCTCATAGCACTGCCATGGTGCCACGTGGCCACAGCACAGCGAGGGCTCATAGCCCCGCCGTGGTGCCGCGTGGCCACGGCACAGCGCGGACTCATAGCCCTGCTGGGCGGCCCTGCGTGGCCACGGCANCCACGGCACAGCGCGGACTCATAGCCCTGCTGGGCGGCCCTGCGTGGCCACGGCACAGCGAGGGCTCATAGCCCCGCCGTGGTGCCGCGTGGCCAGGGCACAGCGAGGGCTCATAGCCCTGCCATGGTGCCGCATGGCCACGGCACAGCGAGGGCTCATAGCCCTGCTGGGCGGCCCTGCGTGGCCACGGCACAGCGAGGGCTCATAGCCCTGCCATGGTGCCGCGTGGCCACAGCACAGCGAGGGCTCATAGCCCCGCCGTGGTGCCGCGTGGCCACAGCACAGCGAGGGCTCATAGCCCCGCCGTGGTGCCGCGTGGCCACAGCACAGCGAGGGCTCATAGCCCCGCCGGGCGGCCCTGCGTGGCCACAGCACAGCGAGGGCTCTGCTGAAGGGCTGCGAGACCCGAGTGCCTGTTTTCAGCCGATCCCACAGATTCATTCCAAACCTGGCCTGCGAATGCATGAGTAATAAGGATGGTCGCAAGAACAATATTTATTTTTATTCAAACAGCACCTTAGCAACCAGCAGCGACGCTCTGTTGTTCCTTCACTAACCCCCCTTGCCTCTGCCCGCGGCCGCCGCCTCCCTCCCGCCTCCGGCCACGTTCCTTTTCAGTGCTTGGTGCCGTACGCGTGTGTGCTCACTGTTCTTGTACTCAATAAAAGTGAAATAAATGTGTTTGACGCTGAGGCGGCCTGTGGCGTGGAATGGCCTCCTTCCCGCGAGGGGAAGGGTCGCGCGGGGAGCGCCCCAGCGCAGGGCTCGTCCCGGCGCTGCCCTGGCACGTGAAGCCGGTTTGGGGCTGCGGGTGGCCGGGGGCGCCGCCACGGGCGGGCGGGCTGCGGGGCTGGGAGCGGCACGAGGCCCCGGGCGGCGGCTCCGGTGCCACGGGGGCGGGCGGAACGGAAGCGCCGCGGAGCCGGGGCGAGCCGGGCGCTTTCCGGGGCGGGCGTCGTGGGCGGCGCCGCGCGCTGCGGGGCGGGCGCCATGGCGGCGCCGCGGCTCGAGCCCGAGCTGGCCAAGCGGCTCTTCTTCGAGGGCGCCGCCGTGGTGATCCTGGGCGTGCCCGCGGGCACCGAGTTCGGCATCGACTACAGCGCGTGGGACGTGGGGCCGCGTTTCCGCGGCGTCAAGATGATCCCGCCGGGCGTCCATTTCGTGCACTGCAGCGCGGCGGCGGGCGGCGGCCGGGGCGGCGGGCCGCGCACCGGCTTCTTCCTGAGCCTGCGGCGGCGGGAGCTGCGCGTGCTGCGCTGGAGCCCCCGCGACGAGCGCGTGGATCTGACACCCGCGGCCCCCGAGGAGGGCGAGGCCATGCGGGCGAAGCTGCCGGAGCTGGACCCGTTCCTGGGGCCCTACCCCTACGAGACGGTGAGGAAGTGGGTCTCCCTGAGCAGCTTCATCAGCGAGTCGGTGGTGCAGGAGCTGCAGCCGGAGAGCGGGCAGATCTGCGCCTTCGCCGAGGTGCTGCCCGTGCTGGCCGGCAAGCACAGCAAGGACCGCGCCGAGCAGAACCTGCCGCCCTACGACAGCGAGTGCAAGAGCTACGCGGAGGGCATGGCGCGGCTGCCCGCCATGAGGCCCCGCGCCGGCACCGAGATCCGCTTCACGGAGCTGCCCACGCAGACGTACCCCGACGGCGCCACGCCGGCCGAGATCACCCGGCACAGCATGGACCTCAGCTACGCGCTGGAGAAGGTGATCGGCGAGCGGTACCGCAGCCGGCCTCGCGACGTGCTCGGTGAGTGGCTGCAGTGCCCGCGGCCGCGCTGGCCTGCAGGCCTGTGGGGCCTGGGGCACACGTGTGTGTGCTCCCAAAGCACATCTTGCAAGCGACAGAGTCAAAATTGAGTGGAGTTCGTCGCAGTTTCACCCCAAGGAGAATCTGGATGCTCTTGTGCTCAGTGTCTAGAGTGACCAGACCGCCCCCCCAGCCACCTTTGTGCCTGGTCACTGCAGGAGCGCCTTTGGGACCCAGGTTCCCACAGGTGGATGCAGAAGCACAGGTCCCTGCCCGGTGTGAACTGAGGCATTGCTTACAAATCCTCCCTAGTCCTGAGACTACCGAGTGGGACTGAACATCCTACTCTATAGGCTCTTGGTCCCTATTTGCCAGCAACTCAACATTTGTGTTTTTATGCTTTGCTTTGTAGGCCTCCGATTCCTTTTGTAAAGTTTAGGGATAATGATCCACAGTTCCTTGTGGATATCTTTTTTTTTTTTTTAAGGCTTGATATTTTCAATGAAGGTCTCAAAGTTTTGTGAAATAACTTGGGGCATGTGAAGGGGCTGTGCACCAGGGAGACAGCTCTCCTCCGTACATGATTCCAGTTGTCCCCTTTGCCCTGTGCATTCTTTTCAGTAGAGCCTGTTTCCTTCAAACCCTCTTCTCTAGCTCCTCAGAATTTCCTCCTAGCCTTCTCTTGTCTCCACAATGGCTTTTCCATAAGCAGTAGGCAAAGCCGATCCTTTTGCTGAATGCTTGGAGCAGTTCCTAACACGTGTTAGAGCAGGAGGAAGGCAGGAGGAGCTGCTGTGAGCTGCTGGCGACCCTCTGTGGCAGCGTTTGGCATTTCTGAGCTCAGCTGCAAGAGGCTGAGCCACATGCAGTGTTCATGGGCACCCTGCAGACTGCATCTCTTTACTTGCTGGTGTTTTTTTGACCTCTCTGGGTTACTTGCCAATGTTTTTTTGATGGCTTGTGATACAAATGAGTGACAACTCAGAAGATCATTGAGTGTTTTTTCTGTGCGGGATGGATTGAGGACATGGGAAGCTAGCTGAATTACAGCCTCAGGTTACTGAGGGTTGACATAAACCTTTATTGTCATCCTCTTCCCCCCTTTTTTTTCTTTATTGACTTTATAAAATTAATTCTTTATCAGAATCATTCTAGCATATACAAAGACTAATTACCTCAAGGGAATGTAAGGCTCCCCTCATACCTTGTGGAACAGTGAGGCTGTTGTTCTGGCAAAGCAGCTGGTGCCCCATTTCTTAACTCAGTGAAGGAAGAGCAGCTGTTTTGCTCTTCTGTACTGCTCACATCTCCTGCGTTCCTCACCTCTGTGTTCAAAGGGCAGGAGGATTTGCTACCCTGCATGATTTTGGAAAGTCGGGCAGAAAAGGAGCAGAGTGATTGCAGAATAGCATTTTTTTTAGGCATCATGGAAGGTTTTGAGTTCTGAGGTAGCCGTATCGTCTGACTGCCGGTGAAGTTGTCCTCCAGAGCTCACCATCGTGCAAGAGGTCCGGCCTGATGGCATTCTGCTTGTTCTCCAGCTGAACTGCAGAGCCCTAGGAGATAGTCAGTGCTTAGAGTATTGATTGCTGTTATGGGAGTCCCTGGGGGGATAGGGTGCTGTTCATTTGTAAAATGCAATCCCTGGGTTTATACAATCGTTTTCAGAGTTTTCAAGAGGACGTAAAACCTGGATATGTTTCTGGTCTCATCTGTGTTTTGTTTCCCTGAATATGTGCAGCGGAGTTGCAGTTTGCTTTCATCTGCTTCCTGATTGGGAACGTGTATGATGCATTTGAGCACTGGAAAAGACTCTTGAATATCTTGTGTCGCTCTGAAGATGCCATAGGGAGATATCAAGACCTTTACACAAACCTCATTTCTGTGCTGTATCACCAGCTCAATGAAATCCCAGCTGATTTCTTTGTGGACATTGTCTCCCAGGACAACTTTTTAACCAGCACCTTACAGGTACGTCTGTGACTGTCCCTGCACGTAACTTAAAAAAAATGGGGGTTGGAAGAGAGGGCATACAGGGCACCAGAGCAAATTTTGGGGGCGAATTTTCAAAAAGAAGGTAGCTACTGTTGATCTGCATAGAAGGCAGGGAATCTGTGTGCTCTGAAAATGCTCCTGGTCTTTCATTTTTTCCCCTGCATTCTTTACACAAAAATATCACTTGCATGCCCTTCTCTGAGTTCTCTTTTCTGCTGAAGTTACACCCAGGGGAGTCTAAAGCGGCATTAGTCTCTATAGAAAGGCAAGCAAAGTAAGGTAAAGAGAGGAAAGACTAATGAGAGTATAAATAACTGCAATTCAGAAAGGAGGCTGTGGCTCCCTTCCCTGTGGTTTTTTTTTTTCTTTTTAGGATGGTTTCTCAGCAAACAGTGCAGAGAGTAGCTTTGCATCGACAGAGCATGGCTGTATTTCAGAGTTCTGGATCAGTGTATATGCTAAAAGGGAATTGCACCAGCATACCTTTTCCAAAAACCTCTAAGGTCATACGCCACAATAAGCTACGCAGCTATGAGAAACACTGAGCAAGTGCAGTGCTTTTCATGTGTTGCAAGTTATGCAAGTCTTTCTATGTGTGTTTTTTTTTTCCCCTAAATGTCATTCATCCTAAATGTTTGTGTGAGATAAGATCGGTGATGCTAGCCCTGGTCAGCTTGAATGGTATGATGTTTTGTATGCAGAGAAGTTGCAGAGATACACTATAAATGCCTTAAGCTCAAAAAAGTATTGAAATGTATTAAAAGCTTTTCCATTCCTGTTAGAATCTGCTTCACTTCCTAGGATAACATATTTATCTAGAAGGAATGTACAGGTAGTCAAGAATGCAGATAACATTCCACTAAGGCTGAGACAGATATGACAGATCTTTGTAATTCAGTACTAATAAGACCCATTACTCCCACTCACTGAAATTATGCAAAAGGCAAATAGTCAAATTTTATAATGAAGCAAAACTCAGTTAAAAATAAAATCAGATGGGAACTTCATGTCAGTGAGAACGATGGTAAGTTACGTTGTAATCTTTGGTGTAAATTGTGTCTTACTTTCTCCTTACTGAACGACATTGATTGCATTTTTCTACCTTTGATTTGGAGTTGCTGCTGTAGAAGGAAGGAAGGAAACATTGCTTTAATCAAGAGAATAACATCACTTCACCTGACCCCTCCCCTGCAGGCTTTTACAACTTTGATTCACAAAAAAATTAGACTTTTGTTGTTTTTCCTATCCCATTTCAGGACTGGAAAATCCAGCTCTATTTTTAGCATGGTGGCAGAGCAACACTCCATCAAATTACAACAGTACAAAAGAATGCATCAACCAGGCGTTCTTTGCATATGATTGGAAATTTTGGAAGCACCTCTGTCTCTGATTATCTTTCCTTTTTGGGTACCCTTGGAGTTCTGCAGTCTGCATCTTTTAGTTCCTCCAGAGGAGCTGGTGGCTTTAGCGTGGCAGGGTTGGTGTCACTGATCGCAGCTAATCCCAGTGGGGGTCACTGCATTCCCAGCAACACAGAAGAAATTTATGGTTTGACTCAGCCTCTCCTTGTTAAAAATTTTCCAGTTCTCTTCCCTGGGGAGGGATTTCCCTGATGGCTCGGAAATATTTCCAGTGTACATCTGGGACTTGCACTCTACTGGCTGCATACTGAAAGCAGCTGGGTAGTGCATCTTGGCTAGGTGTAGGCAGGTAGATTGGAAGAAGTGCAAAATGGGGGTGGGAAGAGTGTATTTGAATGCGGCAGCTTTATTTTTGGAGTTAGATTTCAGCAGAAAGAGTTCAGCAAAACCATCACTGAACCTGCAGGCTCCACAATGGAAATGGAAAGGAATAAAAGGAAAAAAAAATATATAAAATAAGTAATTTAAGGTGAAATTCAATGAAAATAAAAGTATAACTTTTTTTTTACTTCTTTATACATGTTTTGCACTGTAAAGGAGTTCTCTTAAAGAGGCAGTTTCTAGAATGAACAAGGGAAAAGCAAAAAGCACCAGACTTTGCTTTCAATGGTTTTTCCAGCTGTTAGGCAGATCTCTCCTAAACAGGAGCTTGCTTTGTTCCCAAGTGGTTTCCCTTCACTGGTTTCACTTCAGTGTTTCCCTGCACTGAATGGTTCTTTAGCTTTGAAACATAAATCTCTTTCTATGAAAGGGAATTTTGAGTCACAGATTCAGTACACTAGTAGAAACAGGCGGGTGAAAGATGGACTGTGATGTGAAATGCCCAATTTAGTTAGGTATGGATTTAACTCTCCAAAATGCTAGCGGAAAGCTATGAATTTTTGAAAAGTTGATGAATTTGTGCACGTTTGGATGGCAGGGGGAGGGAGGGAGAGGAAACAACCTTCCTTAAGACTTTTTTTCCAGGATAGCTGATTCCTTCCAGGTAAGACTAGCCTGAAATTTTAACCAGTGCACCCTACTGATGAAAAGAGGCACAGGTCATGCCAAGGAGTTCTTACCGACGTGTACTTTTTTTTCTTTTTTTTTCTTTTTTTAGGTGTTCTTTTCCTGTGTCTGCAATGCTGCCATTGATAGGACACTAAGGAAGAAGGCTGAAAAATTCAAGGCTCACCTAACAAAGAAATTTAAATGGGACTTTGAAGCAGAGCCTGAGGACTGTGCCCCCGTAGTGGTGGAACTTCCTGAAGGAGTGCAGGTGGACTAAGCTACAGGCCTGCTTAGAAACACGCAGTTCTTTTGAGTAACTTGTTCTCCACCATGTCCCTAACCTTAGCAGCTTCCCAGAGCCTACTTCTCCAGCTGATGCTATTCCTGCTACAGAGGTGGATTTGAAAACCACAGAGGCATTTCTCACTCGGTGAGGAGACCTATTCAAATGTTGTGTGGCATCAATGGTTGCTTTGAACACTTTCTTTTTCCTAGGTCTTCTGCAGCAACTTCTCATTCTGTACTTAGCCATACTACTAGATCCCTGATGTCTTCCATCTTCCCTGGGCAAGAGGTCACACCCTTCTAAGAGCATCTGTGTTTTAGACATGGAACATTTGCTGCTCCAGTTTGATGCATCCCGAGTGAGAAGTGTAAGCTCACATGACTGATCATTGCAGCGTTCTGCAGCCTGACCTCAAGCTGTGAAGTTCTGCTCTTCCCAGTCTTGGAGTATACAGGAGTATAAGCAAAACTGTTTCAAAATGGTTAGATAATTGTGCTGTTTAATGTGATTTCTGACAATGGCATGTTGTGGAGGGGGGCTCAGAGCCACAGCAGAATTCCTCCTGTGCTGTACCCCTAATACAGAGGTATCTTATCCCTCCAATTCTTTTAAAATGCTTTTTATATTTACTGCTTTCATTGTCTGTTTAGCTTGATGTAAGAGAATGCTAAGTCTGTTAACAAAAAATACAGTCATTGGACAGTAGCCATCCATGTTTCTAAACAGAAAGCAGTCAGAGTGAGCTAAAAGGTAAGACTTTTGTGCAAACTGGGCCCTTTTGTCTTGTTAGGATTGGAAATATTAAGTGTTTTAACAGGTGCCAGTTTCTCCTTTCTCCCCATTTCCTCAGGTGGGCTTATAAAGAACTTGGTGCCCATTCATGGTTTTGGAAACACTGGAGAGTGACATCAGTGTATTAGCGTCCTTGTTGTGTTATCTCGTAACATGCTCTCTGAAGTGTATAATCACTAAGCTTTTTGGGTTTTGTTGTTGTTTTTGACTCCCCCAAAGGAGAATCCCTGCTGTGTAGGGATTTGATCATTCTGCTTGCTTGTTACTTTCTAGGTCTAGAACTCCTTCAGGAATTTGCTTGCATTTATATCTAACAAGATACACTGTTTGTTAAGCTTTTATAGTTCAAAATAAATCTCTTCTCATTGCCTTTCTTACAGAAGACATCTGTACAAGCTGTTAGTTATTTAGCCAGAGCTTATGGTGCCCTGGTACTGCCCCGTCTCTCTCTTTAGGATGTCCAGTAACTCCAGAGGTAACACAGCAGTGATATCCATGACATCCAACAACTCCTAGTTAAATGGTACGTGATGTTGCCTGGCACAAAATACAGCATATCCTGGAAGGGCATATGTGATAATGAATTTCCCAAGTAATGAAGTGCTTGTCACAGGAATCAGCTGTCAGAAGTGATAATCAGCTTTGCTATCTTTTCTCTCCTCAAGGGCTCTGTGTGCTTCATTACTCGAGTGTCTTGGTTTGTCTATTTTAAATATTGACCACAGACCCCTAGGGACATGAATTTGGCTGGAGTTGCTCCTATCAATGTGTTGCGCTTAATCTTTTTCGCACTATTTCTTGTCCTGAACACCCTTGAAAATTTTCATACCATCATTTCATGATCTCTAAAGGTCTTTGTGTCCTTTACTTGTCTGTATCCCTAGGGAGTGCTGTCTTCGCAGTTGGTATTTGGATAAACCATTTGCAGTCGGGTGTTCCCAGGGATGAAAAGTCCCTTTTGGCTTGCTGGCTTTTTTTGTACCATCTTGATGATGGGCTTTGTTGGTTTGGAGCAGAACACTAATTACTAATAAAAGTAGAAAAGATGACAAGAGACCTATGTGCCTTCCTGTCTGGAGGGGAGATGGGAAGAATACGGCTCTGTGAGAGAGCCTTCCCCTGGCCACAGGTGAGACTAGCTAGGCAAAGCTAGTGTTTTGCAGGCTATTCTGGCAGTGCTCCCACGTCTTTGCTTTTGTTAAATCTCAAAAGCAGTAACTGAAAGCTGATATCCAAAGTATCGGGTTCCCATGAGGAACTGCACATCAAGCAATCAAGAAAAGAGATTGTAATTGCCTTTCTACTGTCGGGTTTTTTTCCCCTCACTTTCTTTATTGCAAGGTTATAATACGAAGAGGAATGCTATCTCTTATTAGGCCCATGAAATAGCTGGTAAAGAAACAGGCCTGGACTTTTTGTTAGATGTGAAACAGAAGCAGCAAACTTTCATCTAAACACAGATTGAGGTCAGTTGCTCAGCCTTCAACTCGTTTAATGGAATCATTCAGACACTTGGAGACGAAAAGGAAGTTGGCACATGCAAGACAACACAAGGGATATGTTAGTAAAAGGGAAGGTCTTAAATTGGGGAGGAGAGAGGAGGACTTCTTTTCCTGTTGAAGTTGTCAGGAAGGAGGGTTTAAGGAAACCTCTAATGTGTAGTGGAAGGAATATTTTTTTTTCCTTAGGCCAGCTATGACTTCCTCTCCAACTAAGGCAGATAAAATAACCTGAAAGCAAAAGAGGGATTGCATGTGTAAGTGTAAATACACACTACTGCAAGCTAATGAAGTGTAAGAGGTGATGTGCTTGCAGCATTGATTCAGCAGTGAATTAGGGTCAGGCCCAGCAGCTTTTGGTTTGTTGTGATGTGCCACTGAAGCGTAAGGTATGTTGGCTTTTCTGCTCATGTGGAGGGCTGTCCTGATGCCAGAATTAAGTGAGTTAGACAAATTGGTGTCTTTCCTGACCTCCGAGAAACTTGCACTGCAGACTGTGTTGGAGCGTGGACCGGGCTCCGTCTCAAGTGAGGTGGGTCTCCCGTGGATTAGCAGGGCGGTATTGAGCTAGCCACTGAACATGCCCTGCACATCACGTTTACAGTGCAAACCTCGGTAGAATTTTGTTTAGTCCTGAGAGCTGCTCTTCTGTTTTTCATTTTACTCTTGAGCCCAGTAACATTAGCCAGACCAGAGTTGGGCGATGCTACAACACTTACATTGTGTGGTAGCCTGGGTGTTCACCACCATCAGCTGCAAGTTTCATCGACTCTGCAAGCCCAAAGCGTGCAGTGTGCTAACTCGGCTTAGGGAGAGCATCCCTTCCTTCCCATGAAATACACAGTTATTTTATTGGGAAGTAGGGAGTGTTTACATTTTCTTCTGCTCAGTACTTTCCTTGTTGGCCTTCTGTCATCATGCCTTTCTGAAGAGAAATGGCACGTCTTGTCCTCTCAGCTCATGGAGCTTCCTTTCCGATTTGCTCCTCCTCTCCGCGGTTGCTCGAAAAGCAGACCGTTTCCACCTGCTCTCAGGTGGATTGCTGGTGATGACTGCGGTGTGTCAGGGCTGAATGTCCACCAGGAGGTCTTGGAGCTCAGATTGTTTTTATGTGATAGCCATTTCAGCAGTGCTCGAAGTCCTACAATGGCAACGTTTGCAGACTATGAACAGAACCAAGGTCATAATCATGTTACAAGCCACGCAGACATGTAGAGAAGTTCTTATCCCACAGCTCTTATCCTTCGGGTGCAAGCTAAAGACAAAAAGGAACAGGTAGGGGTACTGCAGAAAGCAATCAGTGGCAATGCATACATCTAGTGCTGTGATTTTAATAATCTGAAGTGAGCTTATGGTTAATTATTACTGGAAACATCAATTATTTTTATTCCTCTGTGTTTTTACTGTACTGCTTAATGTTAAACTTAATTCTTGATTATTTGCTAAATAGCTGCTAACCCTTTGTGTGCCATGCATGTCTTGTTTTGGTTCAAGTTTATTTTTGTTAATAGCTTGCTTTTTTTTAATTATTGCTTGCATTGTTATTTTTGGATTTAAAAAGTCAGAGTACACATAATAAATGACCAGTGGGCGTTCATGCCTCTGAAACATCTCTCACTCCTATTATGGTTAGAGTCTTATGGATCTGCACCACCTTTCTGTGGAGCAGTTATGCTCCTGACAGCTGGATGCCAGCCGCTATGGATGGAGTAGCCTGCACTGAACTTGTGCAACACGGAAAAGGATTGATGGAAACATCCTTACCCCTTTCTCTGAAAAAGGAAATAAAATCTTTCTCTTATGCTGCTGTTCCTTGTCCAACCAAGCTGTGACAGAGGTTTATTCTACCTCTTTGTTGCTATAAAAGGGATGCGCTGTGAATGGTCATTCCTTCATGATGTGGTCAGCTGGCATTTCATAGCTGTTTGTGTTCCTGCTCAGGAAACGTGCGTCTTTTGTGCAGGCTGTGGGGCTGCCTTGCAGAGCCAGGCTCAAGCTGACCTTGCTGCAGCCTGTGCTACTGCAGTGCATGTTGTACAAACCACAGCACGGAACGGGAGTGAGCGTGAGAGCAGGAGGAGGAGGCACCGTGCAGAACGACGGTGCTGGAGCCTGTGGCTAATGCAGGGGAGGCATTGACTGTGCATGGGGCTCACTGAGGGAGCGTGTTACCTCAGGGACCTCATTAAGAGGGAGGAAAATGAGCTGCAAGGCAGCCTTGCTGCAGATAAATCAACAAACTCCAAATGGGTTCATCGATAGGAGGAAAAATCCATAAGCAGCGACTGTCAAAGCTGCTGCTTCGGGTTTGCTGGTGTGCCTTGCTGCATTGCCTGCCTCAGCGGGTGTGCTGTGCCTTGCCCCGAGCGCTTTGCATTTTCATGAGGAAGAAGCTGCCGCCAAGGCTGTGGAGTTGGCGCAAAAATAGGTCGTGCAGCTGCAGCGTTGCTGGGGAGGTGCCAGGCCTAGGCCTTGCTTTCTTCCAGCAGAGCTTATCTCCCGCTTCCAGCAGCGCCGCCAACCTCAGCACCAGGTGCTTTGGGCCTTGCAGGGGCTCCGAAACCAAGCGGTGCCGCTGGCGTGTGCTGCAGCGAGGTGGCGAGGCAGGCAGCCCGTCACGGGGGCAGGCAGCGAGCGAGGGGCTCCTCGCTGCCACCGCGACTGCCAGGTCAGCGGCCTGGCCCCCTGCGTCTCCTGAAGCCAAAGGGATGTTGATCTCGAGGGCCAAATCTCCAAAGCTGTGATGCTTGAGGAGACCCTCTCTCCCCCTCCGCTGGGCTCCCAGAGGCCTTGAAGTTCAGGTAAGCCTGGCCTTGTAGGAGAAGGATACCAGTATGGCAACCAGTATGTGCTGGTCCCTGGCCCTGCTGGGTCCCCTTTGCACGTGCACTTCCTCTCTCCTTGCCAGATTTCCTAGGAATTCTAAAAAACCTTGCCCCGCTTTCCAGTCTTTCAGTAATTCAGGGAATCAACCGAGACAGATGAAATAATGGTGCTAAGAGCTAAATGAAAGGCAGGAGGATTGTGAGGGTCGAGGGAGCAGAAGGGAGAGGAGCTGCTGCCTTGGCCTCTGTGTTGCTTGCAGCCTGGGGACCAGTGCTTGCCTGGGACACCTGCAGGACTCGGCAGATCAGGAGGGAGTTTCAGCCTATGCTCTGACTGCATTGGTGGGTTTTCTTCCTAAGTGGAATTTAGCCACATTTGATTTATGCCGAAAAATGAAAGAAGATTCCCCAGTTGGGATCGCTACGCCTGAATGCATTAGAACAGACCAGCATGAGAGGGCAGTGTGAAGGTAAATAGTGAATTAAAAACTGCTATATACGACAAGTTCCAAATTTAAAGTTTATGCTTAAATAAATAAAGGGTGGTTTTTTTTTTTTTTTTGAGTGGGGTTTTTTTTTGTTTGCTTTTTTTTCCCCTAGTTACAAATGTCTGATTTCTCTCTAATTGGGAGTGTAAGAAATAGCAGGTGGAGGCAAGGAGGACTTACCTCAGAAGTAGTTGTGGCTTCATAGAAAGTTGTTGAGGCTTTTGAAATGAGAGTTGTTGAGGATTTTATAATTGAAAAATTACATGTGGAAAAAAAAAAAAAAAAGTTTCCTCTTAGTGTTGAAACAGCAACTCTTTTGCCCTTGCTTTGGAGGCACTGGATGGCTTATGAAATCCTGTGATGCAAGAACACTGGGGTTTTTGTTTGCTTTTTCCTCTGTCTGGAAGCAAAACTTAGGATTCTTGTAGAATAAAGGCACTGTTACAAGCTCCTTTGAGCAGGCAGAGAGGTATCTGTTTCTGGCTACAAAGGACCTTCCCGGATTTGGCTTTTTTTGAGAAGCTGATCAATTTTACCCTGATTTTTTTTTTTTCTTTCTGAATCAATCTTGATTTGGACAGTGGGATTTTCTGGTATTTGTTTTTTAGAACCCTGTGCTGGGTATCCCAAACTAAATCTGTAGCTGAAGATTATCAGTGACACAGGTTATGCTTGAGAGTGTCTTATTGCTGTGAAGTTTAGTCGTAACTTTACAGAACTTGTAGAAAGCTTTGAGTTCATGTGCCAGGAGCAGTCCTGGCACTGAGGCGGGTATTTACAGTCTTTGCTTGTCTTCTTTTTATTTGTATTGCTCGAGTGCAAACATTATTATGGAGACAGTGAGACAGTATCACTGTTTGGAGCACAAGATTACTCTCAGGTTTCAACCTCAAGTATTGAAAGCTGTTCAGTGGCAGAGAAATCTCCTTTGAGGAAGGAGAAGGACCTTTGGGTGTTTGGTCCTCCTTAGGTTTTTAGCACACAGTAGCTCTGAGTGTTCCTCTGAGTGTTTATGCTTCGTCAATGCAGTAAGGGGGAAAATATCTTACGCTCTTCAGCCTAAGGAACTGCTGAAACAAGGTAGTTCTCCCTGAGAGCGCTGCCTTGTCTGTGAACACTAGAGAGAAGTATTCTGAGCTTGGACTGGGCCTCCCACGTGGAAAGGTGATGGAAAAGCTGTAAAGCTCTTTCACAAGGGCTTTTGACACATATTGCCCAAGAAAGGGGCTGACTTCTTGAGCATCCAGTATGAGCTAATCCAGAACAAGCCTTATTGAGGTAGTTTAGCAATAATCAGTGTTTTTTGGGGACAGTTGTTCTCTCCAAGCAGAGGTTAACTGTTTCCAGGGGCAGGAAGATGAACTGTTTCTTATAGTAAGGTTTGCTTGAGGATTTTATTTATTGCCATTAATCAGTAGTCACTGGGTGCCGCTTGCTGTTCCTTCTGTGTGTTAATTTTGTGCCCTTCCAACTGCAGTAGTTTCACTGAGGGCTGGGATTGCTCCAACGCCATGAGGTACTGCTAGTCCAGGAACTCTGTGTAGTTGAGATTGTGGATCTGGGGTGCTGTAGTGGCGCTCTGGATGCAATGAAGCAGGGGTGGACTGCCAGGCATCATGGCAAGAGGTGTTTCAAGCATAAGAAGGGCTGAGCAGCCCTGCCCTCTGAATTCTTCCACTTGTGCACTAAGCCAAATCTCTTATCTGGTCGTATCTTTGTTTCTTTTCAGACAACCACTATAGAATATAAGAAACGTCACTTGAGATCTTGTTCATTGTAAAGCGAGCTTTGCAAACTTCTGCAATACCTTCCATTTGCATTCCAGAAGGGACCCATTAAACACATTCCCAGCTGTGCTGTGTGCACACGCAGGGCCTCTAATAGTTTTATTTCATTAGCAGAAGTTCACTGGGGAGGCCTGAGCATGTGCATCATTGCTGGAAGCTGACACTGCCGAAGTGTATTCATTTAATGGACTTACTTTTTTTAACAAGACCAATAACCAATGTGATCAAATGCTCCTCCTGGGGCCACCACTCTATTCCCTGGCAGAAGCAGGCAGGTCAAGAGCTCTCCTGCATTAGCAAAAAGATGTTCCACCTTCCTTATTATCCCCAGTTCTCTGCAGAGATTCTTTTAAACTCACAAAGAAAATGTTATCTTTCTTTTTTTTTCATTTCTTTTCTCCCTCCTTTTTTTTTTTTTTTTTTTTTTTTTTTTTTTTTTTTTTTTTTGCGTTGTCAATGACAAAACACTCATTCACACTTCTAAAGACTGGCCAACTTCTCTTGTCCTATTAGGGGTCCTTGTCCAATTCTGATGTGATTAATTCTGCAGCCTCCTCTATGTCTTAGTATTGGAAAGAAACTGAATTTTGTCTCGTGATGGCAATTTCTTTTTTCTTTTTATTTTTTTCATGTTCCGCTCAGGTCACTGCTTGGTATAAAGCACCTTTTGCTTGGCTCTTCTCTTCTACTTGGCCAGGAACTTTGTGCGGCCAGTTAAGTTTCTTCAGTAATATCTGGCCACCTTTTTGTGCAGAGCAAGATCATAGATGTGTCCTCGTTCCGTGGGTGCATACGGAGAGAAACTGGCAGGATTCAGGTCACCTACATCATGAGTCGGGATGCTGGAAAGATGCTGCCAAGCAGCCTGCTGGTTTGAAGCCCTCAGGTAACAGCTCTGCTTCTTCCCCTGCTAGCTGCAGCTGACCCTCAATACTTTTTCTTTCCCTCTTGTGTGCAACACGACAAGAGGTCTCTGAAACCTGTT